AGGCCAGGTTTGAACTCACAAAGATAGTCTTCCTGAGTCCAGGCCTAGCACCTAGCTGTCCCTGGCATCACATGCTACCTTATATTAAATGTAGTTATGTACGTGTCACATCTTTGCTCTCTCTAGCTCTCTTGAGCTCCTCAAGGGTAGTGATTACATTTTAAAAAAAAATCTTTCTATCTTTCACCCATGCTGAAGAGGGCTGTCCTTGAAGTCAGGACAACCTGAGTTCAAGTGCTAATACTGACACACACTAGCTTTATGATCATGGGCTAGTGACTTAGTTTCATCATCCTAGGCTTCAGTGTCTTCAGGACTGAGCTGGGAGGAGTGGCTAATATGCATCAGTGGAGGGAGTTTTCATACTGAGACTTCACATACTGATGCACCCACAGGTTTGTGCTGCCCTCTGCTCCCCCCCCCCATCTTAGTGCCTGACATAGTTTTTTACATCGAATAGACAATAAATGTTGAATTGAATTGTCATCATGAATAACAGTAAGTGGCCGAGCCTGGTATTACACTGCTCTTTTCTGTGTCTCCACCTTGTTGTCTTCCTTGGGGGCAGGTGGTGTTGCAGCATTATTGAGAAACTTTTATGGGGTAAGACTGGGAGAGAGAGGGAAGATGTGTAAAAAACAGTCTTTTTTTCTACGTTACCAAGGTTATTTTTGACTTTTTAAATTTTGAGTTCCAAATTCTCTCCCCCACTCCCCTTCCCTGAGGGCAAGCATTATGATATCAATTACATGTGTGAAATAAAAATAAAGGAAGTGAGAAAATTATACTTCAGTTTGCACCCAGAGTTCGTCAGTTTTCTCTCTCGAAGTAGACAGCATTTTTTCATCATGAATCCTTTGGCAATTGTCTTGGATCACTGTACTGAGTAGTGTAGCCAAGTCTTTCACAGTTGATCATCATTACAACATTACTGTTACTGTGCACAACGATCTGTCTCCTGGTTCTTCTCATTTCACTTTGCATCAGTTCTTGCCATGTTTTTCTAACCCCCTCCCCTATTTCTTACGGCACAGTAGTATTCCATCACAATCATATGCCACAACTTGTTTAGCCATTCCTCAATTGATGAGCATCCTCTCAATTTCCAAGTCTTTGCCACCTCAAAAAGAGCTACTAGAAGTATTTTTGTATGTATAGGTCCTTTTTCCTGGTAGTGGGATTATGGGTCAAGAAGTACAGTTTTATAGCCCTTTGGCTCTAGTTCCAAATTGTTCTTCAGAATGGACAGGTTCACAACTCCATCAGCAGTTTACTGTTGTACCTATTTTCCCCCATCCCTTCTGGCATTTGTCATTTCTAATAGTGTGAGGTGGCACCTCAGAGTTGTTTTAATTTGCGTTTTTCTAATGAATAGCGATTTAGAGCCTATTTTCAAATGACTATAGCTAGCTTTGATTTCTCCTTCTGAAAACTATCTGTTCATATCCTTTGACCATTTATCCTTTGGAGAATGGCTCTTATTTTTATAGATGTGACTCAGTTCTCTATATATTTGAGAAATGAGGCCTTTATTAGAGAAACTTGCTGTAAATTTTTTTTAATGTTACTTCATTTTTGCACCTTTTAGCAAAACAAAGTTTCTTGATTATCTCTTTTAATTAGGTCAATTTTTGCTTTGTCTGAGGTCATTATTGCTACCCCTATCTTTTTAACTTCAGCTGAAGTATATTAAATTCTATTTCAGCCCTTTATTTTAACTTTGTGTGTGTCTTTTGGTTTCAAGTGTGTCTCTTGTACACAACATATTATTGGATTCTAATTTCTAATCCATTCTACTATCTGCTTCCGTTTTATGGGTGAGCTCATCCCATTCACATTTACAGTTATAATTACTGTGTATTTCCCTCCATCCCATTTTCTTCGGTTTCTTCTTCTCCCTCTTTTTATCCTGTCCTTCCTCAAAAATCTGTTTTGCTTCTGACTATTGCCTCCCTTAATCTACTTTATTTTTTTTTTATCATTCCCCCTCTTTCTCTTATCCCCTTCCCCTCCTATTTCCGTGTTGGATAAGGTAGATTTTTATATACAACTGAGTGCATGTATTTGTTCTTCCCTCTTTGAACAAATTCTGAAGGCATTGCCTGCTGCCTTTCCCCGTTTTCCCCTCCATTGCAAAGGCTCTTCTTTGCAGCCTCTTTCATGTGAGAAAATTTTCCCTATTCTGCCTCTTCCTCCCCTGTTCTCTCAGTGCATCCCTCTTTTTCACCCCTTCATTTTCCTTTTGGGATTATCCCAACATAATTGACTCACACCCATATCCTCTATGTAGACTCTTTTTAACTGCCCTAAAAATGACATTCTTAGGGTTTACATGTCTCATTCTGGTCTCGTTTTGATCTGATCGGCCACAGTAGGACACATTGAAACTTGACTCTAGCATAGTGATGTCATTTTGGTCCTCTTCGAGAAGGAAGGACAGTAACCAACCAATTGTCTTCCCATATAGGAATGTAAACACTTTAACTTTATTGAGACCCTTATGACTATTCTTTCATGTTTTACCTTTTTATGTTTCTTTTGAGTTTTGTGTTTGAAAGTCAAATTTCTATTCAGCTCTGGTTACTTGAAAGTCCTCTATTTTTATTAAATACTCATTTCCCCCTGAAGGATTATACTCAGTTTTGCTGGATGGGTGATTCTTAGTTGTAATCCTAGCTCCTTTGCCTTCTGGAATATCATATTTCAATGTGGAAGCCATTAAATTTTGTGTGATCTTAACTGTGGCTCTATGATATTTGAATTTTTTTTTTCTGGCTGCTTGCAATATTTTTTCCTTGACCTAGAGGCTTTGGAATTTGGCTATAATATTCCTGGAAGTTTTCATTTTGGGGTCTTTTTCGGGAGGTGATTGGTGGATTCTTTCAATTCCTGTTTTACCCTCTATATCTAAGCTATCAGGGCAGTTTTCCTGGATAATTTCTTGAAATATGATGTTTAGGCTCTTTTTTTTGATCCTGGCTTTCAGGTAGTACAGTAATTCTTAGATGAGCTCTCCTTGATCTGTTTTCCAGGCCAGTTGTTTTTCTGATGAGATGGTTCACATTTTCTTCTATTTTTCATTCTTTTAACTTTGTTTTACTGTTTTTTGGTGTCTCATTAAGTCATTATTTTTAAGGAATTATTTTCTTCGGTGAGCTTTTGTACTTCTTTTTCCATTTGGCCTATTCTATTTTTTAAATTTTTTTTCTTCAGTGAATTTTTGTGCCCCTTTTACCATTAGGCCAATTTTGTTTTTTAAGGTGTTATTTTCTGTTATTTTCCTCTTTTACCAAGCTGTTAATTCTCTTTCCATAATTTTCTTTCATCACATTTCTTTTCCCAATTTTTCCTCTACCATACTTATCTTTTTCTTTAACTCTTCCAGGAATTCTTGTCGGGCTTGAGTGTAATTGGCATTTTTTTTCTTTGAGGTTTTGCTTGTAGCTATTTTCACATTGTTATATGTTATCACCATAGTAGCTTTTTTTAGTCAAGTTATTTTTTTGTTGTTTGCTCATTTTTTCAGCCTGTTTATTGATTTTGAACCTTTTATCAAAGTTGGGCTCTGCTCACCTGGGAATGGGGAGACACTGTCCCCAGTTCAGACTTTTTTTGTGCTACTATTTTCAGAGCTAGTTCTGGGGCTCTGCAAATTTTCAGTACTTCCAAGGTGGTATGATCTGGGGAATAGTATGGTGACTGCTTCTCTGGTCTTTGACCAGGAAGCTGCCGCTGTTGCTCCTTTGCCAGCCACCTCCAGGGCCAGCTGCAGTACTGCAACATGTGCATTCTGGACTGGTTTCTACTCCAGTGTCACAGACCTCTGCTACCAGCCTCCTAACTTGTTTTAGACTGCAAAAATGTCTCACCTTGACCTTTTGTTGGCTCTGCTGCTCCAAAATTTGATGAGACGTTATTTTAAAGTTATTTAGAGGGAAATGTTGAGAAAATTCAGCTGCCTTTAATCTGCCATCAAAAAATGTTCTGAGAGCTTTTGCTGAGCTTCTGAGAAAGGACTGTTATCACTCAGAAACGAGTTGTTGCCTCTATTGATTATCCTCATCCCCATTTAAACCACCTCTTTTCTATTTTAATTTTTTCTTTTACCATGATTCCCTTCTGCCCCCTCCCTCCAGAAAGAAAAAAATCTTACCTGTTGATTTGGTTCTTGCAACAGTTAAAACATGTTGAGTTCTTGATTTTTTTCCTTCACTTACTCATTGCTTATTCAGATTCTCTCTCCAGGACTGGGAGTATACATGTGATACCAGATCTGTCAGAAGAATCACTTGGTTAATATTTCAGTTTTAGGGTTGTGGGATCGACACCATTTAGAACAAATCCAGTTGAAATTTTTGAATATTTGCAACCAGCTCTGTGTAAATGGTGTCATATTTAAAATTCCCCATCATTGTGGGCTTAGTATTCTGGACTGCTACAATTTTGGAAGCATTCTGCTTACAAACAGAAGGATTACAAATGACTAGAAATGCAATTATTGCCCAACCCCTCGTTTCCATTAGTGCACTTTGAGCATCCTTGAGTGTGAGGCTCACTTTCCCACTGTCCGCTTAATGTTGACAGTGAGGAGCCCTGGTTTTTGTCTGTCTTTGGTGTTTACTTTAGAGCATTTCATTTTGTTCCATGTGATTTATAAAGTATACAGTTTTTACTAGCAGACATTTAAATCTAAGTTACCTATTACTTTTGGTTCAGGAAGATGTTAAAAGATAGAACATCTGGAGTATTCGATTACCTTTAATTAAATTTTGGTCAGACTGGTGGATTGATCGGGCCTTTGGATCTTTGATGAAGTTCAAGATCATTTTCTTAGTAACTGTGTTATTTTCTCCTGGATGTGGAGCTCTGTTTTGTGCTTTATTCATTCCCCCTTACCGTGGGCCAGGCCCTGGACTAGGGCCTGTGTGCACTGTGTATAGATGCTTCATTAGTTTTGAGGAAGAACTTATTGGTGGGCTATGTTGTTTTTATTCCCCCAGTGAATTATTCTCTCCATCTCAGAAGTACCAGCTTTTGGTCTACCATGCAGATTCTCTCTTTCACGATAAAGAATATCGGAATGCTGTTAGCAAGTACACAATGGCCCTACAGCAGAAAAAGGCCTTAAGTAAAACATCCAAAGTGCGACCTTCCACTGGCAGTGCTGCTTCAACTCCTCAGAGTCAGGTATTTGGCAACACAGATGTGATGGCTTGTTGTGTAACACAGGTCCCTGGAAAATAGAAATAGTAAAGCTGACTTCATTTCCTTTTCCTGGCACTTTGAAAGTAACTTTCTATTGTCAGCAAGTTCATTTTTTTCCTTTTAATTTTAAAAAGATGTATTGATACATTCTGTTTTGACAACAGAGATACTTTCTAACACAAAGCCAAACACCCTGCTTGTTCCCTGAAAAAAGTTAATGAGGGAATAGAATCCCGAAGCAGTATTTTTTTCATCTCCTTAGTCAACAGTAGGAGAAAGAATCCCAGCTTAGGAGCCATGAGGCTTGACTTCTCATCTTAGCTCTGCTGTATATAAGGTGTGTGACCTTGGATAATTCCCTTCCCTGCTTTGGGCTTCATTGCCCTCTGCTATGGAATCAAGGGGGTCAGATCAGACAGTCTTTAAGGTCCCTTCCTGCTCTCTATACCAATTTAATAGCCAAAAAAAGCCCATTTCCCTTGGATGTTTTTACAACATGAATGTCTCGTAGGCATGTCAAACTTGATGAGTTCTGTTTTGGACATGTTATTGTCCCCTACCCCCCACCCTTTCCAAATGATACTTGCCAAATTCCCAATTTCTATCAAAGACATCCTCAACTTTTCACTTAGCCAGGCTAGCAACCTTGGAGTGAGTCATCCCTGGTTGTTCACTCTTACCTTCTGTGTGGAGGTGGTTGCCAAGTCTTATCAGCCTGCAGAATATCTCTTGTCTCCACTCACCTTGCTGGCTGCCACTCTAGGTCAGGGCCTCACCACTTCTACCAGAGCTGCCTAATTGACTTCCCTGCCTCTAGTCCTTCCCTTCTCTAAGCCATCTTCCCTATGGCCTCCATAGATATCCCTGAAACACAGGATTGACGTCTCTATTTGAAAGCCTTCACAAGCTCCCTTTTCAGCCTCATGCCGTGTCCCTCCCCTTACTCATTCTGAGTTCTTTCCCAATGGACTGACTTGCACACTCTCTCCTTCTATGCCTCCATGTTTTAGAATCCCTTGTGCACCCTTGGGCCAGGCTCAGTGGTCACCTACAATGAGAGGCCTTTGCTGTTTTCCCCAGTTGTCAGTATTCAGTCTAACACTCCCGCCAGTCCCCAGTTGGTTTGTATTTCTCTAGTATTTACTTAGATTTTATGTCTTAATTTTCCCCCAGTAAGTTTTAAGTGCCTTAAAAAAGCTTGGTAGGTGGTAGGGCTTGTTTTGTTTTGTCTTTTGCCCCTCCATCTCCCAGGCCTTCAGAGATACAGTTCAGATGACACTTTCTCCATGAAGCTTTCCTCCTCTCACCTCAGTTTCCCACAGCTGAGCGGCCTCTTCACTTATCTAATTCTCCCTTGTATAATAGCTGTTTTTGTCCTTTGCCCTGTTGAACTCTTTGCCTTTTCTGAGGGCAGGGCTTGGGTTGTAGCAGCTTTCATGTGTTCACTGAATTGAAATGAAAGTGATTGGTATTTGGATTTTCCCCCCAAATAGCTGCTGCTTCAATAGTATTTTGAACTCATTTATAATATTCTTGTCTTTATTTTTTTAATAGTGTCTTCCATCTGAAATTGAAGTGAAATACAGAATGGCTGAGTGTTACACAATGCTAAAACAAGACAAAGATGCAATCGCTGTCCTTGATGGGATCCCCTCCAGACAGAGAACCCCTAAAGTAGGTTGGTTTGCTACATTTTCAGGTCCATAGCTGGTGAATGTTTTTCTGTTTCCCCTTTCTCTTGCCCATGTTTCCTATGAATGCCATGAGTAAGGGGGCCCCCTCTGCTTGTTTACACATGACTTATCCTGTTGCTGGCTCTGCTACTGAGGGGTTCAATTTAGGGCAATACAGGGGGAAAAATTTCCTCTCCCGGCAAGTTGGGCTGAGGGAGATGTCAGCTGGAATGAATCACAAGTATTGTTTGTTATTTTGATTGGTTTCTCGTCCTAGGAAATAGTATATTGCCAGTAGAAGTCTGGCAGTCACTTTATTTCTAAAAAATCTCATCTTATCCGTCTATGGTTTGTTTGAAAATACATACTTGCATCAGGATAACAGGAATTGGTTTGTTAGCTCCTTTGCTAAGAATTCAAGAACATTAAGTCCTTTTGTACACACTTAAGATGTGGGATACAGATTTGTATTTTATTGTACAAGGCATCATTAATCAGAGTGTTTTTGAAAGCATTGTAATGAAAAGAGCAGTGGGAACTTTTGCACTCAGGAATAAATTTCTATTCATATTCAGTATCCCCACATCACGCCAAAAAGCCACCAAGACACTTTTCATTTTGTACATCTTGTTCCACTAACAAGGGTTTGCATCTTAGGGTCAGAAACAGTACATCTGGCTTTTTTTAAGAGAGGGGGTTATTAAACCTTAGAGTTCTGTTATATTTCAGTTAGAGCCTCTGAGTCTGGGTCTAGACTAGGTTTATAACTTCTGGACCCCCAAAGTCGTCACCTTCTCTCTGCTGTTTATATGAAGTGAGTTATTCATTACTAAGCATAAAAAGTGGCTGATAAATATGATCACTATTTGTCTAAACTAATCCCGGTAGCTGAGAGAGATTTTGATAACTTCTGAGTCAGTTGTTTTTAAAACCAGCATAATATCTGGCCTAAAATGTAACCATATTTACTGCTGATGCCTCCTTTAAAAGCATATTAATTCTTTCATACTACTAGCCCAGGAGAAAAGAAATCACCATCCCCTTCTACTAACTTGGACTTCCTACAGTGCCCCTCACACCCACCCCAAAGAGGATCTTGTTTTTCTTTTTTACATAAAGTAGGATTTTTTTTTCTTTTTTGCCTAAGAGAGATATAGTTATATTCAAGACTATTTACTCCTTACAGAAAGCCTTTCAGGCTGCCAGTTTTGAATGATAGTGTTTCTTTTTCAGTAAGTAAATATGAGATTTCTTCCTTGATGACTTATGGGGTTCTTGGAAGCTCTTAGAAAAAAGTGGTGAAATAGTTACTATTTTTTACCTTCCATTCTAGGTGGACTAGGTTTCTTTCAACTCCCAAATTCTATTACTTTTATTTATTTTTAATGGGATGATTGACTTGCAACACACAGAAAACTAGAAAATTTGACTTTTTTCTGTGTAAAATAAGTTTACGTTGTGTTGGGACCTCCTGTCCTTAATTCTGTAATAGCTAGGAGCAAACACAAAAGATATATTCATCAAATATAATATTTATACTTTTTCTTTCTTGTCCGTTAGGGAGTTAACTGGGCTTCTCAGTCTGTGTAAAGGACAAGGAAGTGAGTCAAAATGCATCTAAATGAACTTCTGTTAATGTATGGTAAACATCGCCACACATTCCCTCACCTTTTAAAGGAAAACTCCAGTGATAGGTTATAATAACTTAGTAAGTATTCAGTTCTCTTAATAGGCATACATCTGTCACATAAAGGTTTTTCATTTTGCCTTAGAAAATTATAACTGCTTGTGTTTGGCACTGAGAGATTTGTAATTATAAAGAGATTTCCAAGGAAGGGCTTGTTTTGGAGAGAAAGGATTGGCTATCCCATTAGAAAATTATAAAAATCAGATTGGCAGTGACAGTGAAATAGGCTAAGAATGTACAGAGCTGAATTGTGCTGCACTCCACCAGGACAGGCCTCTCAGGCTTTGTTTTGCCAGATCCAGTAGCCGAGAAGGCGCCTTTTATCCTCGTTTATTGGAGACACTAGCACTGGAGTCTTCCTTTAAGCATTTCCCTTTTTATCAAGTGTTACATTTTCAAAGAGTTTAAAGTGGAAAACCTAAAGTCAGGCAGAGGGTGGTTTGCATTAGTGCATGGCTTGAGAAGTGTCATACTAGATGAGTTAATATACCGTAGGCCTCTGTTAAGAGCAGATGTCCTTTTACTCTTGGATGAACTTGTAGGTGTTAAATTGTATGGCACAGTCCTAGAGCACAGAGCAAGCCGTAATCTAGACCCAGAGAACTGGAGAAGATGTGGCCTCGCCTCACTTCTTCTCTCCCTTTTGCCCTGCCTACCTTCTCATAGGTCTATTTTGAGGCCTGATGGGATACTGAATGTGAAAGTGCTTTGTATAAAGCATTATGTAAATGAAAGCTACCAGATGCACATATTCTTGCCCCTGTGGGCCTGCCTAATTAGGTCCTTGATAATGGCTTTGCAGGCCTCTTAGTTTTGTTTTTTTTTTTTTAATTAGGTCTCCTCATTTTCCTTTGTGCAGTTGTAGAAAATATAAACACTTACATCCTCTGCATTCTCTTCCTTTCGACATTTTTCTTTTTCTTCAGAATTCATTTTACCCTCTTGCATGTCTAGAAAGGCTTGTTTTAATAAAGCTTTTACTAAGTCACATACTTGTGTGTTGTGCCAAAAATGTGGGAGTCTCTGCTTACTAGCGTTAAAGAGTGTGGATGATCTGTGTGTGATTATCACCTGGGAGGGGAGCTGTCGGGTTGAGTCTGTCCTCTGCAGCCTTCTTTTGGCACGTGCAGTTTGTAGCTGTGGGCCATCCCTTAAATGCCAGTCAAGCCAGGCTGATTATCAGAGGGAGGTCAAGCATTCCCTCTCAGGGGAGATGCTTGACCCACTTCATCTAGTCGTGCCATTAGTTCCTCTTTCTTGTGCCTTAATTATAATTAGATATTAAATATAAAAACCCAGGCAACTGCTTGGGGAATTTTCCAGCTGTTTTGAGAACAAGAAAGAAGAAATCTAACTAGTATGGATTTGATACTAATATTTTTTGAATGTAGCATTTTTCAGTTTTCAGATGCAGGAGATTTGGTATTAGACTTGACTGAACTGTTTGCTCTTGGTTTGGTCAGCTAGAGAGCCATTGGGCCTCCTGTGTAGATGAGAGGGCCCAGTGGACAGCCAGGATCACTGCAGGGGGACGGGAGGGAGGTGGCATTTTTTTTTTCCTGGAAACCCCGGGGTTCTAGCTGATAATGGGGACTAGAACTCCTTTGTGATGAATCACCTGGTTTTCACTGGGTTTTTCTCTTTTTTTCTTTCTTGATGATTTTGTTGTTTACAGATAAACATGATGTTGGCCAACTTGTACAAGAAGGCGGGTCAGGAGCGCTCTTCTGTGACCAGCTACAAAGAGGTGCTGAGACAGTGCCCGCTGGCTCTGGACGCCATTCTAGGTAGACATGCTTTTCTCCCTCATTTTGTATTCTGCTCACTTGTCTAGGTCTGTCGAGTCAAGTGTCTCAGGAAAAGTTTACGTTGCTGTTTAAAATGAAATGGTCTACGATAGAGTCAGGAATGACAGGAGCACTTGACCGCTGACATTTACCTAGTACCTTGAGGCTTACAAAGTGCTTCCTTACAACCTGATGATGTAGGTAGTGCAAATGTGCGGTTGGGGAGACTGCAGTTCAGTAATTTGCCAAGATCTGTGGCTTGTAAGTGGCGTAGGTGGGATTTGAACCGAGACCTCCTGACTCCAAATCTACTGCTCTTTCCATTACATTTCTGATGCCTGATAAATGAGGATCAGTTTTATATGAGTGTGTAGTCTCATTTAACACAGGAAAAAGTATAGTCATCTACTTATTATATTTGTCAAAATGGACACTATCCCTCACCTCCTGTCTGTCTCTTTTGGACTAGGTTTATTGTCCCTTTCTGTAAAAGGTGCAGAAGTAGCATCCATGACAATGAATGTAATCCAGAGCATTCCTAACTTGGACTGGCTTTCAGTGTGGATCAAAGCATATGCCTTTGTCCACACTGGTGACAACACCAGAGCTATCAATACCATCTGGTAAGAACCACAGACAGTTCATTTAGTGTTGTCAGGGGCTTTTCCCTGGTGGGATTCCAGTGTGGCCAGCCTGGCGGCCCGGCCAGAAAGGTGCTTCCTTCTCTAAGGGCTCTCCCGCTGCCAGGTGTGTGTCCCGGGGGTGCCGTCAGCTGCTCCACATTTTGTTCACTTGTTCCTCTCCATGTTGAACTGCCCCAGAGGTAATCATCTTTATTGGAAACCTGTTGAAATGGAAAATCAGGCTGACTGGGTTCAAGCTTGTACTCTGGCAAAGCCGATCTCCTTAGCTTGCTGTGCTTGAGCCCTACAAGAATGGCAGGTTTGATCCTGCAGAGGATCTGGGACATCTCATCCTAACTGGCCTGCACTGCCTCCTGAGAGCATGGGGCGCTCACGGCTACTGCTTCTCTGGAAAAAAAAAAAACGAAAGAAATTCTGGATTTTTAGATTAGTAATCTTATCTAGCTTTATGGCAGACCAATGAGTAGGTATCACCTTTGGAAACTATTGAATTACATTGTGTTTGCTATCTCTTAACTGCCAGCAAAACGGAGACCAGAAAGTTCATTCCAAGTGTTGAAATGTTTTCCCCTTATTTTTTTGTTATTCAGTGTAGTTAGTTTAATGTGATTCCCATTTTGTTTTTTATAAGCTGCATTTTAAGTTATAAGTCAGGAAACCCACTTATATTTGCTGACTTCTGTGTGTTTGTTTTATGTAATCTCTAATATCTTAAAAGTTCTCTAGAGAAAAAGTCCTTATTGAGAGATAACGTGGACCTACTGGGGAGTTTAGCAGATCTGTACTTCCGGGCTGGAGATAACAAAAACTCCATTCTCAAATTTGAACAGGCCCAGATGTTGGACCCCTACCTGATAAAAGGTAAAGTCGGTTGAATTCTGGGAGAAAAATCAAGAGACAAAGGAAAATGAAGAGTTAATTCCTGCTAAAATTTTTTTGTAGAAATCTTCTGTAAATTAGACCATAATCACTTCTTAAGACTTCTTTTTTTGGTAAGATGATACTCTAGTATTGTCTCAATTGAAATGGTTTTTGCATATGCAAATTGAAAATGATCTCTTTCAATGATGATGAGTTATTTTAGTTTCTTTGTACCCGAGTCTCCCTTTTCCACTCGTGTAATGAACGTCTGTAATGTTAACTGAAAGAATTCAGATGATATGCCAGGGAGTCACAGTGAGCTCTCATACTGTACGTGGCTGGTTGGAGTCCGCCTTCACGAAGGCCTTAACACAAGGGTTACTAAGCAGTGGCAGAGGAAGAAAGCAACTAGTCTCAGATAAGTAGCATTTTCACCTCTTGGCTTGGAGGTGAGCCCTGGTTTTCAAAGGCTGTACCTGGCAGGTTCTACTGCACTGGGAAGGCTTTGAGCATGGGCGTATGGACACAGTGACTTTCTGTCTGTCATTCCAGGTCCAGCCTCACTAAACTCTGGGGCTCATCACTAGATTAGCTGAAGAGGGTGCAGGTTTTAGCTACAGCAACTCTGGCAGAGCCTCCAGTTACCCAGGAGCCACAATGGTTGGGGAGGGAGGGCCTGATGGCCATCCTGATGAAACCACAAACCCATTTCCTGGGCTTAGAGAGAAGCAAGTGTGCAGAGGAGGAGGGAGTGGGCGTGCTCAGTTAGATGCAGGGGTCCAGAATTCTGACTGTGGCCTCCTGTCTCCACAGCTCCATTTGTGGGGTGAAGACACTTTTAGCTCATCTAGTCCAGTCCTCTCCTTTTATAGGCCAGGAAACAGGTTAAATGACTTGCCCAGAATCCCACAGCAAGCTAGGAGCTGATGCCAACATCCACATGTTGACTCCCATTTTGGTGCCTTCTCCACACCATTTGTAAAGTGGTTTGGAAAGTCTAGTCTTTCAGATACATAAAAGGGAGTATTGGGATGGGAGAGGGGAAGACCGGAATCTGGTGCATCAGCTTTAGAATGGTGCTGCGGTCTAGGCAGGAGGTAAGTTCTCATGGCAATAGTGACCAGAGAAGAAAAGATGAAAGACCTTGGACGTCATTTATGGAAAATTTTGTGAACGAGGGACAGCAGACGGAGTCTTGAATAACTAGACCCAAGTAGCAGATTGCTTTTCCTACAACTTTTAGTAGGTTAACTTTTTTTTTCTTCTGAATGTGACTGGTATGTTTAACACTTCAAGCGTGTGCTTCCGGAATCGTGCCTAGAGGTTTTGGCACCAGAAAAATGATGGCATGCTTTCTTGAGTCTGATGCTTTTGCTGGATGTTAACGTAGCTTATCCCTCACACTGTGGAATGGGGAGCCAGTGATTCCTGAAAATACAAAGCAGGCATTGTGTCTCATCTTTGGGCTTTTCCTATGTGACTGTCATTTCTATGATGCAAAAAGTGGCAGAAGGTAAATAGTCAGAGGAGGACACGGACCAGTGAGGACCGTGCCCAGGTTTTGCTTGGGTTTGGGTGGTGGGCATGAGTGCAGGAGCCGCCAGCTGTGCAGCTCTGCCCCTTTACAAAGGAAAGTCGTCTCTCTCAGATACATTATTTAAGGTGAGAATCCAGCAAACGACTCTGAATGTGTATTTTAGGAATGGATGTCTATGGATACTTACTAGCACGAGAAGGACGACTCGAAGATGTCGAGAACCTGGGCTGCCGCTTATTTAATATTTCTGATCAGCATGCTGAACCATGGGTAGTCTCTGGGTATGCCTTCCTGCTCTTTGTTGCTTTCCCTCTGTACGCCAAAAAGGCTTTTGTTTTAGATAAAGCTAAATTCTTAATGGGGAGAGAATTGCCTGGATCTACTAAATGAAGTGCATAAAATAATAATAGCTCATGACAGCTAGCATTTATAGAGTGCTTTACAAATATGATCTCATTTGCTCCTCACAAAAACCCTGGGAGAGGTAGGTGCTATTATCCCTATTTTACAGACGAGGAAACCGAGGCAGACAGCGGTCATGTGACATGCCCAGGGTCACTGGCAGCTCTAGTAAGTGTCTGAGGCTGGTTTTGATCTCGAGTCATCCTGACTGCAGAGCTAGCACTACTTTCTGCACCACCTAGCTGCCTCTAAAAGCAACTTCGTAACTGACACAGCTTTAAATTAGTCCCATTTAATAGCATAAGCCCAGATAGTTGACAGAATTTCCCCTTCCTCAAAAGATCTCTCATTTTTTAGTAGCTGGGTCTTTGACAAACATCTTAGGTCAAAATCAGAGGTATGGATTATGGTAATGGTTTATATAAAGAAAAGACACAACTTGTTTTTTTGGTTTGTAGAAGAATTTAGAGCTTTCCCTTTGATTTTGGCTGAATAATTAGCGAGATTTCTTGTAGTGCTTCTGATAATTGATCTTTGTCATTTTTTTCTCTAGCTGTCATAGTTTCTATAGCAAACGATACTCTCGGGCCTTGTATTTAGGAGCTAAGGCTATTCAGCTCAACAGTAACAGTGTCCAGGCTTTGCTGCTGAAGGGTGCAGCCCTTAGAAATATGGGCAGAGTGCAAGAAGCCATAATCCACTTTCGGGAAGCCATACGCCTTGCCCCTTGTCGGCTGGACTGTTACGAAGGTAAGAGCAGTGAACCTACCTAAGGCCGTTGAGGATGGAGGGAGGGAGCCATAGTGCTGCTACTGAGTGCTACATTTTCTCAGCTTCCTAATGCTGCAGAGTTTAGTTTCAGATTCCTAGGAATTCAACTTGCCTCCATTTGGGGCAGCTTTTTTTTTTCTTTTTCTCTTTCTCTGTAGTGTTGTTGTCTTTTTGCGGGCTAGGAATGTTATACAGTCTTCCCTCTGAATAACTAGAACGGAAGGAACATTGCCTGCTCCTAGAGCAAGGCCGGCTTGTGGGAACGAGGCGGTTCTCTGTGAGCCCAAAGTGGGGAAAGGTTTGGCTTACGTTTTGCTTTCTTTTGAGATAGTCAAGTTCATGTGAACTTGACTCCGGGAGTTCAGATCAGCCATGCCAGCTCACTATCACTCTGTGACTCACCTCACAGAAATTCAGACAGATCTTGTAAATGCACTTCCTCCCAAGTCGATTTTTATAAAAATGTAAAAATGACTCAGAAGCTGAGGACTGATCTTACTCTCACAGTTAGATGAGTTCAGATTTGAAAAGAAAATTTAGGAAAAACAAATCGATGGTGATAAAGCTCAGTAGCTACAGATCTGTTTTTTAAAAAGTTTTTATTTGTAAGCACTCCTTTCATGGCTTTCCCCTTCCCCAAGCAAACATGCAGTGCTCCCCAAACAGGGCTTTTGAGTTATTCCTAAACTATGTTGTTGGTGGGGAATGTTTGACGCTCCCACTTTATCCTGTGGTTGTTAAGACCCTGTACTGGCCAACACATTTCCTCCCTCTGATTGCATGAGGATAGCTTCCTAATAGCCAGTGCCTCTTGCTCCGTGTCTCTCTCCCTTTGTCCTTTTAAATAAGCCCTGTACTCTTTGCTCCCGGGTCTCATCCCTCTGGGTTTCGGTGACACTTTGAGGTCCAGTTTGCTTCCTTGTGCAGGGTCTCTGTCTGGCGTGCCTGGGTTGTTCACACATTCTGTGCACTTGTGTCTAGACATCTGAGGCCATAGATTATATTGCTGGCTCCATTCTTGGGTTTGTGTCTCCTGTGTTGTAGTTTTACTTTATCTAAAGTATCTGATCGGATGTGTTGCGAATCTGGTGACTCCTGTATCTAGTTTGATGGGCATAGGTTGGCTGTGCTCCCTCTTTTTCAGTTTAAAGCCTTTTTCAAATTAAATTTGCAAGACTCCAGGCAAATCTGTTCTTATTGGCTGTTTATCATTGCATCATAGGGTTAGAGCTGCAGGAGGATCTCAAGAGGTCCAAGGGTTGGTCCAAAGTCACGTCTCATTAGATGATCTCCATCACTGGCCACCTCGCTGTTCCTGCATTTCGAATCCTCGTCTAGAAATTCACACCCCATTCTCTGACACCATCATTTTAATCAATCTCACATCTTTTCATTTTTAAAAAATATAATTTAATTTTTTCAGTGAACAAAAATCCATCCCTCGCCCTCTCCCCATTGAAAAGAAAAGCAAAGCTCTAGTAGAAAATATGTAGAGTCAGGCAGGGCAAATTCCTGCATTGGCCATGTCCAAAAAATATTTGTTAATTTGTATTTTGAGCTCATTACTTCTCTGTTAGGAAATGGGTAAGTACACTTCGTCCTGGGTCCACTGGAATCATGGTTGGTTATTGCATTGCTTCATTCCAAGTTGTTTGTCTTTATAGTGCTGTTACTGTTGTATGAATTGTTTTCCTGGTTCTGCTCACTTTGCCCTGTATTAGTTGCTATGAGTCTTCCCAGGTGTTTCTGAAACCATCTCCTCATTTCTTATAGCACAGTAGTATTTCATGACATTCATGTCCCCTGATTTCTTTCCCCTCTCCTTCACATTTCCTTCTCTAGTAGTTCCTGCCAGGCTCTAACATGTGACTTGCCAGCCAGGAGAGTTGCGGATAGAAAGAATGAGCATTGCTCATGGCTAATGAAAACATTGTCCTGTTCACTGGTCATTGGTTTTTGGTTGAATAACCTCCTTGTGGGGTAGGAATCACTCATGGGGCTTGTTCTGCTGGTTGGTTTTAGGTGGGAGGACATTGGAGGCTCTGCTGGTAACTGGGCAAGCTGCAGGTCAAAGATGTGTCTGTGCTTCGTGGTTCCAGGAGGTGTGTGCCAAGGGCTACTTCTCTGTGCCTGTGCCCATGTTAGCATGGGTGAAGGAGTGGGCTCTTCTTGAAATAATCACATGAAGCATTTTACCATCGGTGTTGGAAAAAAGTCAGGTAGCTGGCTAAGTGCCCATACCTGTAGTCCCTGCTGCTGAGCAGTCAAAGGGTGTTGGATCAGTCTGGGAGCTCCGGGCAGCAGGCAGACTAAAGCCAGGGAGGCGTCGGCACTCCACTGGACACCGAGACACCGAGCCCCTGGCAGTGGAGGGCCTCCCGGCTGCCTCAGGAGGCACAGACCAGCCCAGGTGGGAAATGGACCAGGGCAGAGCTTCTGTGCCAGGCAGAGTGGGCATGGGTCTGCCCTTCTAGCCTGGGCAGCTAGGGAGACATGGTCATAAAAAAGGGGAGAAGGTAGAAAAAGAGAGAAAAGAAAACTAGTCATGTGATTTGAATCTGTTTTGGTTTTTAGGGAATTAGATAGTTTTTTCCCAGTCTAATAGAACTTTCTGTGGCCCAGAACTCTTTCGTGTCATTCAAAGCGAAACATGTCATTTCTCCTAGACAACCTGACTAGTTCTTCTGCTCTGTCAGACCATCACCTTTAAACACAGGTCAGAGGTCATTGAAAGCCCAGCTAATGGTCCAGTACGTGTTGCCTGAGAGGAAGAAGAGGCTTCTTCCTTGTGGCTATTCTCTTGGGCACTTTGAGTCTCCTGAGCTGAGTCTCATGGTTGCATAGCAAGCTCTTTATGTCTCCAGTGATGGAGATAGCGCCTGACACTCGAGGTGTGCAGTGCAGGTATGAAGGCTTTTTCTGTTTCCTTAGATGCTTGAGAGGGAGAAACGTTCTTTGATATTCTCCGAGCCCTCTCTGGCTCATTTCATTCTAGAAGCTGTCCGCTGTCTGCCTTTTGACAGGCTTCTAGATTTCAAACTTTCAGATGGTCGGTGGAGCAGCATGGTTTGGAACCTCATTACATTTGCCTCCTCTCCCTCTTTGTTTCCTCCCTTAGGTCTCATTGAATGTTATTTAGCGTCAAACAGCATTCGAGAGGCAATGGTAATGGCCAACAACGTCTATAAAACCCTCGGAGCAAATGCACAGACCCTCACCCTTTTAGCCACTGTGTGTCTTGAAGATCCCGTCACCCAGGAGAAAGCAAAGACCCTGCTGGACAAAGCCCTAACCCAGAGGCCCGACTACATTAAAGCGGTGGTGAAGAAAGCAGAGTTACTTAGTAAGTTCATACAAATCCCAAAGGCTGTTTAGCCAGCACTGACTGCCACGAAGCGTCGTCATTCACGTTAACTACAGTGAATGGCTGCTGTCGGCCAGGATTTGTGTTTGTGTAGTGTATTTAGCCAGATGTTGTCACTGAGGAAGGACGCATGGACCAAGAAGGAGCCAAATGGTTTTTGTCAGAAAACCAGATTGCATTTTGACTTGTGATTGGAGCCAGTGCGGCAGCAGTGCAGTGAAAGGGCGAGAAATGGAATTCTGACACCCAGTGGGACGGGGATTTGAATGAGTGCTCGCTTCTGTCATCACTGTGCTGTTGCCAGTTCTAGAAATAGATTGTCAGGTTGGGATGAAGGCTGTGGTCGGGTGGATACGTGAGGTAACAGGCTGAGATGGAACCGTCCTTTTCAGCAGCCCTCTAAGTGGGACAATGAGGTCATCTTGCTCTCTTCAGGCAGAGAACAGAAATATGAAGATGGCATTGCTTTGCTGAGGAATGCGTTGGCCAATCAGAGTGACTGTGTGTTACATCGAATACTGGGCGACTTCCTGGTGGCTGTCAATGAGTATCAAGAAGCTATGGACCAGTACAGTATCGCTCTCAGGTAAGGCCTTCGGAGCCTCTTCAGGGGAGGCATGGGGTGTGCGGGTTTACCAGATACAAAGTTTACTTGTGGAGAACAACAGCATGATCGGAGAGAAATGATCTGTGACGCACCTCTGTCACCTTTCCATGGCCGGAGAAACCGTCCCGAGGTGGCAGACAATTTTCTACATCTCTTATTTGCATAGAAAATGACAGCATCTGGGGACAGAAATGGCCCGATTTTGTGTGTGCTGGCATCTAAATGTGTTCCTGTTTCTAAATAAATAGGAACTTTAGTATAAAGTCCATCTGACTTTTACCAATCATCGAGCCACAGAATGTCAGAACTAGGATGGTCTTTGGAGATTTTTCTAGTCCAGTGTGGTGTGGTACAAAAATCTCTGGTTTTGGAATCAGAAGACTGTTGCTGCTTATGACTTGTGACTCAGGCAAGTCAGTTGGTCTCCATCTCTCTGGACCTCAGAATCCCCCCCTCAGTCACATGTGAGGCCTCTGTGAGCCAGTGAAATCACTTATTCTCCCTGGGACACAATTTCCTCATCTCCAAAATGGAGGGTTGGACTAGTTTGTTTCTGAAGTCCCTACCTGCTGTAACTCTAGGATCCCGGGATCCCCCTTGCTTGACAAAAGAGGGATCCTGGGGCCCAGATTGGTCAAGGGTCTTGGCCAAGGTAAAGCCCAGGCCTGTCTGGTATGTGTCTGCTTGTCAGAATTACATTCAGGAGCTTTCCTCGGGTGTCTGACTGACTCTCCATAGGCCCCAGCCTCGTCCCTTGTCCTCTGGATTTGGGATGTTTTAATAACTTGATAGGAGTATTTGTTCTGTTTGTTGGAACGGTTTCCTCTGTGACCTAACATCCAGATCTCTGATTTCAGACTATCAGCTACTGAGCGGAGAGGCTGTTAGATCGCAGTGGTGATCTTTAAATTGTTACACCTGATATGGGCATCCGAGTGGACTTCTGTTTAACAAGCCGTGAACGGCCATTCAGGTTAAGCATTGCTTGGAATCAGGAATCAGTTTGAGTGGGTGATGAGGAGAATGAAGAGTAGGGTGCTCAGTGGCTGCAGATGTGGAGAAATTTAGAGCTTTGACATGGCCGTAGTATACTGTCTTCTGAACTAGAGAGATTCTGGGCCTAAAGGTCATAGACTCACTGTATTTTGAGCTGGAAGGAACCTCAGGAAGTCTTCTTAATTAATTAATTAATTCATTTGTTTGGTTTTTTTTTTAGTGAGGCAGTTGGGGCTAAGTGACTTGCCCAGGGTCACACAGCTAGGATCCACTGCGCCACCTACCTGCCCCTGTCTTCTTAATTTTAAATGAAGGTAGCGTGCCTTGCCTGCTCCAAGGGGGTACGGCCTGGAGGACCAAGTCTTCTGCTCCCGTGGTCTCTGACGGGGAGCAGTAGTGATGCTGACTGGCCAGGGTGTCGAGGGATCCGAGTGTGGGGAGCAGCGTGTGACTCAGGACGCTCTCCTTTGTTTTCTTGTCCCTTAGTCTGGATCCCAATGACCAGAAGTCTCTTGAGGGGATGCAGAAGATGGAGAAGGAGGAGAGTCCCACCGATGCTACTCAGGAGGAAGATGTGGACGACATGGAAGGAAGTGGGGAAGAAGGGGATTTGGAGGGCAGCGACAGCGAGGCAGCACAGTGGGCCGACCAGGAGCAGTGGTTTGGCATGCAGTGAGGCCTCTGGTCTCCCCTTGGATGGGCGCAGCTCAGAGTGGCCCGAGCAGAGCTGGGGGCAGCCTCGTCTGGGAAGAAGACCACCATGTTGTCTCAACGGGGAATTTGGTTTTCTCGCTCTCTGTTCTCAGTAGTAACTTCATTTTTGAAAATTGAGGCTGCCAAGCTCTCCAGATCGCTGTCCTCTCCCTGCTCTTAGCACGAGCAGTCTGGGAAGCATGCAGGCGTGCTGGAGCTCTGGGACAGACAGCGGTCTTTGTGCACTTTGGTTCTAAATGTCTGACTCTGAGTGAGATGCTTCGTAGGGAATGTGGCAGCGCGGTGGGAAAGAAGGGCCGGTCCGGGGAGGTGTGCTCTCGCTAGTTTCTTAAGGCAGTGCAGGTTGGCCCTTTCAAAAACTGTCCCATCTGCTGACAGCTCCAGTAGGCTGCTCAGGATCTCCCTTTTGATTTTGCTTCTTTCTGCAGTGTTGGCAATGCCTTAAACGGAGACTTGATATTCTGCAAACGTTTTCCTGTTTGATAACCTAACAACTTGCCTATAGAGCCCAGGCCATGATCTTCATCATTGGCTGTAGCTTACCATAGAACGGTGAATGGGAGCCCCTTTCCTGAAGATTTCTGGCTCTTCATTTGCTGTAATTACAGAATAAAGCCACTTTTTGGGTACAGTAATGGAATTCCTCTGGCTGAAATGAAAGCCACTCTGCAGTTTTTGTTACTTCTTTTCTCCTGTTCTGTCTGGTCTCCAGGAATAGCTGGAAAATTAATTTTTTTGTTAAAGGTTTTAAAATTATGCTGCCTCATCTGTGTGTGGGTGTCATGTGTGCCAGCTGCATCTCTGCTGGTATCTTCCTCACAAACTGGGTCAGGGCCAGAAATGTTGGCCACAGAATCTTCCATCTTTCCCCCCAGCCCATGTCTTAAGTACCTGAAGAAACGACCCCCGGAGCCATGGTTTGAACTTTTGTGCTTAATTAACTTGCCTGTAGCTTCCTCTGCTTCATGTGGTAAAGGGATCCCTCCAAAGCAGGCTTCCCCTGCTCCTCAGAACCGAGCTGTCTGTAACCTAACCTGTAGTTCCACCAAGATCTGTTCTTGTCACTGGGAGGGGTGGCAAGGTCTGCTTTCTTGAAATGTTCTCATCTGTCTCCAGACCTGTAAAATGTGCATAAAGATAGGCTACGGTGGCCCTCCTGGGGGAGCAGCCCTAGAGTTGAGGTGCACGTGTCTGCCGGACTTGTCCCTGAGGCTGATGGAGTATGCTTTGCCATGGGCCTTGAAGCCACAAGCTTGCTCCTTGGAGGGCATGCCCTCCTGCTCGTTCCTTCCAGTTGGTCTGGCACCAGCACCGGGTGATGGATGTTCAGACCCTGGGGAAAGCTGGCTGTGCTGCGCTGCACTGTGCTGCCAGGTAGGAGGGCTTCCTTTGACTGGATAAGCCTTGGCTCAGGGCAGGCACGTGGGAGCAGCTCTGCTTCTACCTCGTGCTCTTGCTTTCAGCAGTGAAAATGCAGGGGGTGGTTACTGGGAGAGAACTACCTTGTTTCTTTTTGGGTAACTGCCTGTGGTTTGGAGCTCTGAGCAGCCTGCCTCCTTACAGTCAAGCAGTGCCCTCCTCCCAGCACCTCAAACACAAGCCTCTCAGAAGGGCAAGAAGTGAGCTCTCAGAGCCCTTTGGGGGTCACTTAGGGCCTCTTCTTGTACCTGTTTTGTGGGCCTGTGACTCTGGGCTCAGGTGCGGCCTCCCCTCGATGCCTTGACCTGTTCACTGCTGATAGCAGGACATGGGCTGGACCTCACGACAAGCCTGGCAAACCTGATTTAACCACAGGGCCTCTGAGTGGTCCCTGGATAACTCTCGAGATGCTCTGAGGGAAGGGCCAGACTCAGGTTTTCACTTCCTGACTGGAGGTGAGACCAGGGAAGGGCTCCCAGGGTGCTTGGCAGAGTCGCCTGGCTGGCTGGGTGGATTTACCATGAAGTGGGCAATGATAGGCCTGCTGTGATAGGACTCCTTTCTGTAGAGTGCTTTAAGGTAGGTATGGCAAGTGTTGGCATCCCCATTTTACAGAAGAGAAGATTGAGGCAGAGAACTTTGAGTAACTTGCCAGTGATCACCTTGCTTTTGAGTGTTGAAGCTGAGATTTGAACCCTTGTCTCCTGACTTGTTGGCATTTGCAAAGGTGTGGTGGGTCATGGTTTTTTAACTCTTAGGGCTTCCCAGGCCATATTGAAATGGGCCAGCTTGATTGTGTGTAGCAGCTTTTCAGTTAGGCCAGGACAGCCAGCTCCTCTTCCCCCGTTGCGGCTAACTTTCCCTTCTGTTTGTTTGCTCAGGGAGCACACGCCCATTTAACATGTCACTGCGAAGGTCTTTGAGACGGTAGAGGTGCTGCTGGGGAGACAGCAGGGCTGTCAGGCGTTGTCTAGGACAGAGAGAGGCAACGCTGGTTGCAACTCACCTGTCTCCTCTTCTGGACGCCCCACTTCAGCTTAGCGCCTGTATTAGGTGCCTGCTGTGTGTCCGACACTGCGCTAGCTGCCGGGGAGACCGACCAACCCGTCGCGGCTGCTCCCAGAGAATTTACTTTCTGTTGGGAGACAGAACGTGTGGACAGAGGAACACAAGTGAGACAGTTTGAGGTCGAGAGCCCTTGTAACTCCAGAGGGGAGAAGAAACTTCCCTAGACTCTCTGCTGGGGCACGGGGCACAGAGCACAGGCTGGAGGTCTTCCTGCATCGTTGTCTGCAGGGTGGCAAGATGTAAGGAGACTGGCTGCTGGCAGTTGTTGGGGGCCTGTGGGAAAGCAGGCACACTTGTGTAGCCTTTCTGGAGAGCAGTAAAGTTTCTGAACTGTGTAACTAAACCCTTTAGCCCAGCAATACCCCTCCTAGGCCCATGCCCCAAAGGTTGAGAGGAGGAGGGAAAGGACTCATGTACAAACATTGATAGAAGCTTCTTTTCGTGGTGACAAAATGCCCCATAAACTTGGGGGATGTTTGAAGAATGTAATGGAAGAGTTTTAACCATAAGAAATGGGGATGGGGCCTGTTAAAGAGACATGGGAAGACTCAGACGAACTGATGCACAGAGAAATGAGCAAAACCAGGTGGACACTTTGTGTGCTAATAACACTGTAAAGACAAGCCTGGGTCATCGTGGTGACCAAGTCCAATTTCAGAAGACCTGGGAAGAAGCGGATGAACCCTCCTCCAAAATGAGACGTGTAGACTGAGACATATCCTTTATGGACATAGCCAATGTTAGGATTTGTTTTGCTTGACTATGCATATTTGTTAAAGGGGGTTTTCTTTTTGGTTTTATTTTTTCTGGGGGAGAGGGTGGGGAGAGGGAGACAAAATAGATTTTTGTTAATTGATAAAAATAAAATTGATTTTAAAAAGATTATTTTGGCATTTGTGGGCATCTCCCACCCCTGCTGTGACTTATCTTGGTGGCAAAGTAGGTCAGAGTGTTCTAGGGTATTAAGAATATTAGTTGGCATTTGCTTTGCAAATATCTGTTTTGATCCTCACAAAAACCTGGGTGTTGTTATCCCATTTTGTTGTTGAGGAAACTGAGGCAAACAAGTTAAATGCCTTGCCAGGGTCACCCAGCTGGTAAGTGTCTGAGGCTACATTTGAACTCAGGTCTTCCTCATTCTAGGCTCGGTGCTCTATCCACTGAGCTGCCCTGTTCTGTTTCTTCCACTTGTAGATGCTCTCCCTCCTTTGATCATGAATGTGTGGCATCTAACCCTGCTCTTTTCCACAGTAGAATATAAGCTTCTTGAGTGTAGGTATTGGTTGGTTTGGTATCCTGAGATCCTAGTATAGTATCCTGCACTTAGTAGGTGCTTAATAAATACTTGGATTGCGTTAGAAATGGAGCTGAAGTCACTAGTACAGGAGATAATGACCTTTAAGAGAAACAGTCAGCTCTTAGTGGGCACTTGGCCTCCCCGGCCCCTGTCCTTGGGCGCAGGGTAACCCATTCTCTCCATCCCCAGGGATCTCCTCTCTTCTGTGGCCCCGGCACCCTCAGGGGAGTGCCGACTCTTCTCCACAACCTCTTCTCTCCCCTTTCATTTCTGTGGGTGGTGTTTTGGTCTAGGAACCAAGTGAGAGGGTTTAGGAAGGATTCTGGGGCCTTTTAAAAACCAGAGAAGAGAAACCACTTCCTGGAACCACAGAGTTGGGAGGCGACTTCTAAACCGGGCCCTGCTGCAGGCTGGCTTGGGCTGTTCTCCAAAGCTGGTCGGCCCTGTGGAACAGTGAGGCTGACCTTCTGGGGCCCTCCCCTCCCTCCCCACTGGGCTCATGGTCAAGGCTTCCCACTCCTACCCCATGAAAACTGCCACTCTGGATGGGCCTCTTAAGGCCCAGGCTTGTCTTTGAATTCCAGATCAGTTTTTAGCTCGAGGTAGGGAGTCTCAAGAGGCCTGAAAGTCCAACCTTGCCATTTTACAGATGGTCATCAGATTTAGTGCTGTCGAATCAGGTAGTGAGCATCAGGTTTGGTTCCAAACCCAGGCCTTTTCATTTCAGAACCAGTCCCTTTATCATCCTATGCAGTCTCCTGAGCAGGGGATCCTCGTCCAGTAGGAGAGGACCAGATGCAGGGCTGTGCTAGAGCCGGCTCCCAAGTTTGTTATACTGGAGAAAACTACAGATGTACGGATGAAACTGTCTGCTTGGGCCTTTTGATCAAGCTGGGCCCAGTAAAGACATTTCATTAAATTCCTGGCCTGCTCAGTCCTGGCCACTCAGAGTGGGGTGTGTGAATGGGGAAGGGGTGCAGCCAGAGATGAGGATGGTAACCTGGGGCTAGTGCCTACTTTTCCAGGAGATCCTAGTCCATGAGCTACCTGTTTGGCCAGCTGGCAGGGACATACATGCCTGAGTGTAAGCAGGCCCCAGCATGTTGAGGAAGAAGCTTACTATTTTAAAAGGCCCAGGAGAGGATTCCTTTGAAGGGGAGGATTACATTTCTCTGTGAATGTGGATTATCACATCTCAGGAGGTACTGAGACTGTTTCCCCTCCATTGGTGATTTTCCCCCATCCTGATATCTTATTCGTCCCACCCAAGAAAGCAGGGTTAAGGTAGATGTCTCCTGTTGAAGGTTCAGATTAGAGTTATAGCCAAGTGCATCTCTCTGGGGCAAGGGACATGCCTCTGGATTATGGCTGATTCAGACTACATCTTGCACACATTAAAAGCCCAGAGGCTTCCCTGTTCATTTTATGCCCTCCCCGACTCTCTCCTTCCCTTCTCCTAGATTATCAGTACTTAGGACCCTGAGCAAACCAGGCAGCTTTGCCAGGATTCACGGGGAGAAATGGAGTGTTTGGTTTGCTTAGATTTTGGGGGGTTGCCTTGAGATCTGAAAGGCAGGCTGTTGGGCATGCTGTGAGATGATTTCAGATGTCTCTACCCCAGGGTGCCTCACAAATGAAACGTCCCTGTGGAATCCACCATGCTTGACTCTTTCCCCCTCCTCCCCACGGATTGGGAAACACGGGACATTACGAGGGTGGTGCTGTCTGACAGCTGTTTCATTAGCTCTAACTTCATGGGGTCTCATGAGGATCCCTGGAGAGGATAACCTGGGTCCACCCCAACAGGGGTGGAGGGGAAGGTATTTGGGGATTGCAGCGAGACTGAAAAGTAGGCATTTGAAACCTCATGTAACAGGGATGTCAGAATTTTCAAGCGGCTCATTAGGTATTGACCCTATCTTGTAGGGGTGGGAAAGTAGAGGCATTTCAAAATTGAGGCAGCCATCAAGGATGGGAGTCACTGTTGCTCTGTACAAGATTTGGGATTATATAGTTTAATTTGTCTAGAAAAACACTACCATAGTAGGCAAAGCCTTGGAAAGCCCAGGGAGGAACTGATAAACACTTTTTTAGCCTTTGTAGGAACTAAACATTTATGTCAGGCCATCCTGCAGAATTTGGTAATATGTGGGGTAAGCTGTGCCAATACAGAGTGGTCTGCTCTAGCCTGTGTTCTCCGCAGTGGAAACGGTGAGTAAGAAAGGGGAAGCTTGGAGGCCCTTAGGTTTGACCCTCCGTCCTGCCTAATATAAGGCTCATCCAATCCAGCCCAGTCATTTTGCAAACAGGCAGGGCGCAGGATTTAAACCCACATTCTCCCTCCAACCATTTTAAGTCCCCTGCACTCCCTCCCACTGATGTAATTCTGAGTTTCACCTGGGGAGAGCTCCAAGCTGGCATGGTACATGGTCTTCTCCCTGCCTGTGAGTTCTCTGAACTGCCCCTAAGCGAACACGGAGAGAAGCCCAACAGTAGCTAAGTTTCTGGCAACAACCCGGCTCTCCATCTGGCATGTGGTGGTTGTGAGGGCCTTTGCCAACTCCTCCAGCCTGACCGGTTAGTAACATGGCAAAAAGGGCTCTAGATTGGGGGGCAGAGGGTAACAGCCTTGGTTCACCCAGTGAAGTCTTACTAGCTATAGTGATCTTCATAAATATGAACATGGCATAATGAAGTCAGATGCTATTTAACTATGATTGACCTTCGTGTGTGAAAAGAGGAAAACATACCTTTCTTTTCCCCAGAGGCGGGGGCTTACAGGTGTGAGACACTTCACACAGACTTGTTTTGCTGGGGTTTTTTGGTTTTTTCTTTGCTTTTTGGTGAGGCAGCTGGAGTTAAGTGACTTGCCCAGGGTCACACAGCTATTGAGTGTCAGGTGCCTGAGGTCATATTTGAACTGCCTCCAAGGCTGGAGCTTTATCCACTGCACCACCTAGCTGCCCCTGTTTTGCTGGTTTTACATAAGGGAAGGTACTCTGTGTGTGCAGGCACTTGAACCTTTCAAGCCAAGACACAACGAAACTTTCAAAATGGGCCCTAATTTGAGAACCTTTTTTGGTATCAAAGGGAAAGGAGGACCCCATAAGCCTGGGGGTCCCATAGGCCCCTCTGCTCTGTGTACTGCATGTTGACCTATCTCCCTTCCTCCTCCTCCTTACATGCTCTTAGGCAGAGACAAGTCAGTGTTCAAAGCCTTTTGTGTAAACGTGGATAGGCCTAGAAGGGACAGGCTACCAGGCAGCATTATCTCTACCTCAACACCTGTCACCACACTGAGCTCAAGAAAGGGTGGGCTTCCCGGATAAGCCAAGGCCACTTCCCTGGCCTGCAGTGCTCTTGGGCTGCCCACCCTCCCCTCCTTCCCAGGAGACAGTGGCACCAGGAAGGCCCCCAGTGGTCGGTCGGGCCATGGCCATTCAGAAAGTGGTGCATCAAATAACACCCCAACGGCTGTATTGTAGAATAAATTTATTTACCTGAAACCATGATGGCTGTGATGCTTATTGTTCTGAGCACAGAAATAAACAACTCATCTTTATTTACAGTCTCTAACGTCCAACATGCGTTTGTGATCAAAAGTGGACTTTTAGCATTAGGTCTAAGATAAACGCATCACGATATTTGTATTATTGCACCAACATCTGTCTACTGCTTGGATTTCCTTAAATAAGTTACATTATTACAGTGCAAAAAGAGTTGTTTGCACACATTTAAAAAAAAAACAACAACAAAAAAACTTAAGTTCTGGACTGGAGGGCTGGCTATGATTTTTAACATTCAACATCTGTAGTGTTTTCCATGAGTTTATAAATAAGCATACTGTACATTGCTGTTTAGAAAGTAGCACGTTTCGATGAGACCGTACAAGAAGGTTGGCTACTTACAACAGAAGGCATGCATTACAACTGAGGATTTGTACATTACATAAGCTATGGCATTTTATTCCAGGAAGAAATAGGGAACCTTGCTTGCCGACTCCTAATTCTTGGTCGGCTGAAGTTTTTAAAGACCCAAATCTCCGTACAGCAAAGACCCAAACTTCCTGGGAAGGTTTTCGGATTTGTTAAGCTATATTGCACGTTTGTAAAGTAGTAACTGATTCTTTTTAAAAAGTGAAACCCCATCGGTCACACGCGTCCTCCACATCACACACAATGAGCTTGAGAGGATTTTTTTTTCCTTTTTTTCCCCCCAACATCACACATGCAGAGGGCTGGTAGATGTTGCTAAAAAAAACGCACATGCACGCAACAAAACAACCTCACACTTCTGCAAAATGGTTTAGGAAGCGGTTACTCCAGTATTGCTGAAAAGGAAAGAGAAAGGAAATCAGCCTGGTAGGAAAATGGGGGGAGAAAGGAAGTTACTCTTATGACAAAAATAAGATAAAAAGATCAATAGTGACAGAGAGAGATGGTGCAGAGTTGGCTCTTTCTGGACCTCAGCTCACCGGCCAGCATGTTCCCATGATTTGGCCCACGATGCGGGGACACCTGGACTACCCTGACGGTTTCGAGGTTAGCTGCCCTCACCCTCAGCTTGGTGCGGTTAGGAAACATGTCCCAAGAGGTGGTTAGTGGATGTGAAACCAGCACACGGAAAAAGGAGAGTTAATGGTTTAAAGTGCAAGTCAGGAGTGAGCAGTGAAGGCAGGCATTCATTCCACTGGGCCTGGCCACCTGCTGGACTCCCATCATTGCTTGTGTTCTTGAGAGATGGCCATGGTCTGAGAAATGCTTCAAGGAGATGAAGGGAGAAAAGCCCCTTCATCGTCAACCCAGAGGGCAGCCAGAGACTGAGCGCAGTATTAATGCTCAAGGTCATCCAATAGCTAAGAAGCTTGTTCTGTTCAGGGCGGGAACTGGTGCCTTTCCTTGCTAGACTCAGCTTATTTTAACGTGAGGCTTTAGTCAAAACTTGACTGGTCAGTCTTCGATTCCTACATGGGAACGCAGATTCGTTTCTGAGTGGGGAATGGGCCATGGTATTCTAAGATATTGCCAGAGTACTTGGCCCCCAATTGGGCTACGATGCTCAAACAGGCAGAGGTCAAGATGGCACTCTCCCTGTTTTCCTGGTGGAGACTGCAGAGATGGGTGTTGGTTGAAAGCTCTGGCCCATCACAGGAGCAGAACCAGGATGGGCATGTACCTGCCCCTCCCTTCTAGGATTCCTACCCATGCCCCACGGCACCAGCGACACACGCAAAGGAGGGCCTTATGGATATAGGTATCGCCAAGGCACAGAAAGGGCGTCTTGAGCTCCTCACTATTGAACAGAGATTGCTGCAGAACAGCAATCCTCAGCCCACGCAAGCAGCACCAACAGGGCCCAGGACGAATGTTGGGGAATAAGGAGAAGGGAGCCAATTGGTCTGCTGCCAGAAGGTGGCTATCGACTACACCATGGCCAAAGACACCGTGCCCATCTGTGGGGAATCTGGTGGCAAGCTAGCCTAAGCTACAGTGAGGCCCGTGGGAGAAAAGCAGCCACGTGCCCCTCTCCTCTCCAGGCATTTCAGGCAAATGTGACACCGAGGGGCGACGTAGGCCCAGGAGGGCACTGGAGGCTCGCTGTTGCTGCCTTCTGTGGAGGGAGGCCCTCCACGACTCGCCTCCTTCACACACCCCCTTGAAGGAGGGCATGGGCAGGGGGAAAGCCTTGACTGACCTTCAAGACCCACAGCAGCAGCTCATTCAGGTAGTTAAAAGGAAAATGGAAGGAGCACATGACCTCCTAAAATTTCAGTTTGCCTCTGAAGCATTCCAATCCTAGGACCTCTTGGCATTTCCATTCCCCATATGTGATGCCGTCCCCTTCCCACAAACATTCACACAGAGAGGGAGGCTGAGGGAAGTTGGTCCAGCTAAGGGTGCCAAGAAAGTGGCTCTGGTGGGCTGCTGAGGCCGCACCAGACACTCCTGGTACATCGGCTACCCCAGAGGGGATTCGTGGAAGGGTCAGCGAGTATTCACACCAGTACTCTGGACAGTTTTATCCCTATCCCATTGTCGTTTATCTTAGATGGGGACTTAACTTCCTCTGGAAAGCCAGCCAGTTGTTGACCATCGACTGGAGGGCCCTGGATTCAATGCGAGGGATGTGACCCAGAAGCAGATTAAGGAGAGGGGCTGCTGAGATTAACTGCCTGGTAAGGACCCACCGATTCCAGTGATTCTAGTGCTACAGACACAGTCCTGGCAGGTGAGCTAGCTCTGTCTGTGCCCTGACTGCCCTCTGACGGTTCCTCATCAGAAGCCTGTGTGGCCGCTCGGGCCAGGTGCCCAAAGGGCGAAAATCACATAGCACAGCAAGGGAGCACCGGACCAAGGAAGTCATCATTTATTCATTAACATCATACAGTAGACTGTTTTTTTTTTTTTAAAGCAAAGTCACCCCTGGTTAACAACAAAAAAATACTCACTTTAGTTGATGAATGTTGGAAGGCATTGGAGAAAAACACCACAGTTAGGACAGTTAATGACTTACACGCTGTTGGTATCGGACTGAACTTGAAAACATGCGCAAACATCAACCATGATAATGATGGTGGTGGTTAGTGCCACAGTAAAATAAAAACTGTTCTATGCAGTATGTCCATTTGGTCATGTGCTATTTACAGATTTTACAAAACACGCACACACGCACCCCCCCCCCCGGAGCTCATGTTATGTCTCTATCAGGACCGGCATTAAGTGTATCTAGCAGATGACAACTCATGCCCTCAGACCCAACTTCTAACTGTGCCAGGCTCTTGCCCCTCTCAGTCACATTCCCAAGGCTCTGGTCTGTCTAAGGCCTTGAAGGGAAATGAGTAGACTTGATCCGATCAGTAAGGAGTCCCAGCTAGGCTTAAGCCACTTTAAGAGTTAAAACGAGACAGGTCTTTTCCTCTATCCATTTAAAAGGTTTTATTTATTTCTTTTAAAACTAGGTAAGTGCCGCTGAAGTGGGCAACGTTGGCAAAACAATGTCTGTTACGAGAAAATACATTAGACGTTTAAATAAATAACCTTAAAAACTACGTGGGGGGAGATGAGTCCAGGAGAGTGGATCTGGAACAATGTTTTCTGCACAAGCGAGAGCAGGCCTACCTCTCATGGAGACGGGTGTAAACAAAGCCATCGGCATGGAGAACCAAGAAGCCAAGAGGGAGCGGGGGAAGGGCGAGGGGGCGGTGCTGACAGTGAGGGGTGGGGCGGGTGGGGCAGCAAACCAAAAATACTGACTGAGGTAGCAGTACTCTGCTCAGTGCAGAAAAATTGGCTTATGAATAAAAAAATTAGACTGTGACATCAAATGAAATCCAGGTGATCATGCAGAAGACCATACATGCTGCTTAGTCTTAGGAAAAAACCACACACATTCATTCCCTAAAATCTGCCGCCAATTAATTTGCTGACAATGTCTGCTGGCTCAACGATTTCTTTATACAAGGATGAGACTATTAGACAGAACACTGTACATGCTTTTTCATCTACAAAAAAATATTTGCATAAAATAGTGTTAGTTCTCTGTACATGTCAATGGACACTTTAATTATGTGTATAAAAAAAGGAAAATCTTGCCCCACTGGAGTCAGAAAAAGCAAAACAAAATCTAGAGTATGAAACCTCCTTCACCAGCAAACATGTTCATGTGAAAATTCAGCAGAAATAGACAGTTGCTTTAAACAATAAAAAAAAATTAATTGATTAAGTTAAACATCTTTTATGTAAAACTACGTCAGTCAAGACCAGAACATGTCACTAAAGTTAGTGTCTGTGCTATAAAGCCAGATAACCAAGGGCATAATGATCAGCACAAACGGCCAAGAAATCCCTTCGGTGCAGGCTGGGAAAGAGCACGGTTTGGAGGTGGGCTGCACACACTCTTTACCAGGTTCCAGGTAGTTACGGGCCACAAATTTCAGGGTTTCATCCATGAGGATCACGGGCAGGGAGATCTTCAGCACCATGAGCCACTGGGTCACATTCAGAGGCGTGATCTGGAAGATGAGCTGAAGAGGGGGGCAGGGTCAGGGCGGGGCTTCCCCAGCAGGGCAGGGTGTGGGGGAGGGGGAGCAGGGAGGGACCCCCGGGGGCCCACGGGACTCACCGGCAGGGGCTCTACATAGAGGATGAGGAAGTGGAGGGACATGGAGAGGCAGATGGAGCCCACCAGCCAGATGTTCTCCCAAGGTGGCATCCTCAGCAGAGACTGGTTTTCCGATAAGCTGCAGGAAGACATTGAGAGCGCACACACGTCCCATCACCCATGTGGAAGAGGACCAGAGAGAGCCCCTACAGCCCTCAGAATAAAGACCAAGCCATCGGGACTGTGATCCCGAGCTGCCGCCTCTGCCCTGGCGCCCGGCCCCCACCCTGGAGTCTTCCTGGGGTTGGGGGCTAGGGGCAGCTATCTTGCTCTGGGTCTCCAGGCCCAAGGAGCCCCTCCCATTTCTGTTTCCTTTGCCCTAACATCTTAAGCAATTCAGAAATTCCTGTTCCATTTGGGTAACTAATTACCAACAGCAAGAGCTACTTTTTGAATTAAGGAAACACACACTGGGGCGGCTAGGTGGCGTAGTGGAGAGAGCGCCAGCCCCGGAGTCAGGAGGACTGGAGTTCCGATCCGGTCTCAGACCAGACACTTGACACTTACTAGCTGTGTGACCCTGGGCAAGTCACTTAACCCCACTACCTAGCAAAAACAAACCCCTAAACCACATGTGGAGGTTCAGCGATGAGGTCTGCCCGCTCTCCCTGTGTGGGGGATCCCCTCCACTCACACATAAATCGGGAGGCACCTACACAACTCACAGAGTTGTGGAGTAAACCATATTGTGAACGATGAGGTGCTGTAAACACGTGACGAACGGCAGCTGTGTGAAGGAGCAGAATGTGAAGCTGGTGCTGGAGTCACTCACCTGTTGAGCGCGTTGCACATCTCAATGGTCACCAGCACAGACAGCGCCATCGTCATGGGGTATGGTGACTCAAAGATCCCACAGTCCACGCCCTCAAAGTCCGGGTTGTCCTCCTTACACTGCAGGAAGTGACTCTGCAACCAAGGAGGACAGGGTCACGCCCGGCATCTCTGCGCCTGCCCCACCTGCCCCCACCTGCCTGTTCCGCCACCCCTCGCCCGCAGCACAGCCCCGTACCAGCTGGTAGAAGGTAATCCTCGGACCACCATCAGCAGCAATGAACCACCACGCGGCCGCCCCCACAGTCGCGGCTCCGACGTAACCTGGGGACGGAAGAACAAATGGTGAAGGAAGGCTGGAGGCCGGCCCGCCCTCTGGGCCAGTGCGCCACTCAGGGCGAAGACGAGGGAGGCGCCTCAGACTAGGGCCTGGCCAGCAGGGCCGCAAACGCCCGAGGCCCGGGGCTCTACCACAAGTGGAGGAAATGTGCGCGTGCCCCCAAGACCACTTTTGCACCACCAATGAAGAAAGCTGGCTAAGAAATACATTTGTGGAATAAAGTAAGACTACAGGGAACATGTTCGACCTACTGAAGAACAATTTATTTTAAAAGGCTTCAGTCTGTTCCTTGAACTAAAAAATGAAGTTACTAACAAGTGAACTGCTCTTCCAGCGCCGTCCCCTAGAAGCACTCTGCTGGCGGCTGGCTAGATTTATTTAAAAGTCCAGTTCTTAGAAGTAAAAGTAAAACCCCAGGATCACCCCAAAGATTCTGTAATACAGACTACTGCTCCTCTCCCCACTCGGGGGAGGGGGGAGGGTGTGTGTGTGTGTGTGTGTGTGTGTGTGTGTGTGTGTGTGTGTGTGTGCGTGTGCGCACACCCATGTGTATGTGTTCAGTGAAGGTGGGAGGGCCACGTGTCAGACATGCTAAGCAGGCCTCCAGTCCACCTGGGATTCCACCCCTCAAAGGGCAGTTAGCCCCAATGACGTCATGTTCTCCACAGCCCTCTGAGTACCACCATCATCTGGTTTTCCAAGGGGAATTCCCTCCTTAGCCTCTCTTGGTGATGGCTTCTGGACATCACGTGAGTAACGACTAACTAGGAGATGTTCTGAGAGCCGGCTCTGGAGAGGCACAGTTGGATTTGCACACAGGCCTCATTCATAATAAGCCAACGTGCCATGTTGGAGCACCCTTCATAGGCATATGGCATTTCAGTGGAGGGAAAAAAAAAGGCACAACATTTCCTGTCTGGAGGTGCGAAGGAGATGTGATGGAACAAACACATTTGTGAAAAGTTCCAGGACGGAAATGTGTAACGCGATAAGCGAGTCAATGCGACTTCTCTACTAACACCTCACAAGGAACTGCAAAGAAGAAAAGCTGTCCAGTGTCTACTTACATCCGATGGCCAGGTAGCGGAAGAAGAGCCAGCCACTGATGAGGGGCTCTTTGGGATTTCGGGGCGGCTTGTTCATGATGTCCAAGTCGGGAGGGTTGAAGCCCAAGGCTGTAGCTGGGAGGCCGTCTGTCACCAGATTTACCCATAAGAGCTGGACAGGGATTAGAGCCTCAGGAAAACCTAGAGCAGCAGTCAGGAAAATACTACCCCCAGAAAAGAAGAGAAGGACACATAGTAGGGTCATTATTGTGGGCCACAACTTTAAATAAAACTACAGAAGAAAATGGATACTTTGTGACTGAGGCAGAAACAAAGCACAAACTTGTATTCTGGCTCATACACGATTCTTCTGTTACACAGAGATCACAATAAACAGCTAATTTTTACAGCATGAGGAATTGGTATGTAATTCCAGGCTGCTTAAACCTGACCATGCTTTGGTCTCCTGACGCCCTTCCCCACTCTGCCTTTACCTCTCCGGAGCCTATTTTCTCTCACTCCCCAAGCCCACCCGCCACTCCAAGACGCCGCTCCCTTCCTCCACGGGGTCCACGGGGGTCACTGTTCCCATTAGGACAGCAACTACTTTAAGTGGCTTGTGCCAGACCAGCATGCCTGCCCACAGCGGCATCCCTGACACTCACCACACGACTTCCCCAACATTGGAAGAGATGAGGTAGCGAATGAACTGCTTCATGTTATTGTAGATGGCGCGTCCTTCCTCGACAGCCGCCACAATGGTGGAGAAGTTGTCATCTGCCAGCACCATCTCCGAAGCGGTTTTGGCCACTGCAGTCCCAGACCCCATGGCAATGCCGATCTCAGATTTCTTCAGGGCTGGGGCATCATTGACACCGTCCCCAGTCTAAGGGTAGGTGGTTTGAGAGCAAACCATTAGACCGTTGACACTCACAGGATCAGACAATGTCCCAGCCTTCGCTGCTCCATCCCAGAACAAAGCCTGAGGTGACCAGTCCTGCCCCAGGCCAACCAGTGAGTGACCAGAACCTGGGCCTGCAGACCCCTAATCCCACTACATGACGTGGCCCCCCATTCTTACCAGGGGGCCAGCTGTGAATACACATCAGGAGCTTGGAGGAGCAGGATGGCAGCCCCCGTTTCCCACCAGCCACGCAGCTTTTGGATTTCTCTCCATCATGCCTGACTGTCTTTCTTCCCCAGGAAATTCATCACTCAGAAATTTCCTTCCCCTGCAAGACGGTGCTCCCATCTCACCAGAGGGCAGGGCAGAGGGCTGCAGGCCCTCTTTGGAAGGGGGCATGGCTCAGTCTGTTCCCCATCCCTACCAGCTGTACCGCTTGGCCTTCTCCATCTGGCCCTTGAGGGCATCGTCCCCCCTTGTCCCCCTTTTAGCTTCCTTTCTGTGTGTTTCCTTCCTCTATCAGACTGTAAGCCCCTTGAGGGCAGCGAGCAGCTGTTTTTATTTGTGGTTGTATCTTCAGTGCTTGGTGGGGTGCCTGGCACATAGGAGGCACTCCTGGAGAGACTCCAGTCCATCAGTATGTACAGAAACATGAAGATGATCACAGGATACTGATCTCTAAGCACTCAAAAGGGAAGTGAGAAATTGTGACTTGGGCCTACCAGTGAGTAGACACCAGGCTCAGCCACCGCTGTCTGGTTGAACGGGATGTGTGCCTGACTGGCAGCCCACGCCCCCCAACCCCTGCCTCTCTCTGATTCCCATGCCGGGAGTCTTCTCACAGACTTACCATAGCGGTAATCTCATCAAAGGACTGCAGGAACTCCACAATCTTGGACTTGTGGGAAGGCTCCACCCTGGCAAAGCAGCGGGCATTGAGGCAGGCGTCCCTCTGGGCAGAAGGGTTCAGCTCGTCAAACTCACGGCCCGTGAAAGCCTTGGCAGTGACATCTTCCTCGTGGCCAAAGATGCCGATCCGACGGCAGATGGCCACGGCGGTACCCTTGTTGTCCCCGGTGATCATGATTACGCGGATGCCAGCCTGCCGACAGAGCTTGATCGACGAGGCCACTTCGGTCCTCGGGGGGGTCGAGCATGCCCACACAGCCGACAAAAGTCAGATTGGTCTGGAAAGGAGGAGAGGTTCAGCGAGCGTGTTGGCAGCACAGTGACGGTGACGGCGACGTGCCCCAGCCTCAGCTCGAGGCTTGTCTTGCACCCCCCCACACGCCGTTCCCCGAGCCCCAAACCCTGGCACCTTTCAGCCCGTGCCCAACAAGCCAAAGGAACGTTACACAGCCAGGTCACTAACTTCCTGGTGCCTCACCTATGCTCCGAAATGGGCCAAGAAAAAGACCTGGAGACTGGCTGACCCTGAAGACCCTGGCATTTCCACAACGGAGAGCGCCCACAGATGGCAAACAGACTCATGACGGAGCCCCACCCCCTCGCCCCACAAGAACAGAGCGCTCCACCCCTACTCAAGAGGCAGCAGGAAACCTGCTCACTCACTCCATCCTTTTCTGAAAATCCCCTTGCCCAGCCCCTCATCATCAAGCTACCCCATAAGCCTCCTGGCCTCGGCCCAATCCCACCAAGTCTTCTGACAGAGGAAAGAGGATTTTAAAACAGCAAAAGAGACGTAAACATTGGGAGCAGCAAAGCCCCGACCAGGCCGTGACAGGCCATCTGCCGGGGAGGGGGGGTTTATTCGCTGGAGACTTTTCTCCTAAACACAGTGATGTGGAGGGTGTGAATGAAGACCCCTTTCACCGGCTGACCTCGTATTTAATAAAGTTGGCCGAGTCCTCGAGATTCATCTCCTCTCTTCTGGGAGGACTGTCGTGCGTGGCCAGCGCCAAGCAGCGCAGCGTATCTCTGCCAGTGCCCCATTCCCGAATGACCGTCATGATCTTTTGCTTGACCCCAGAAGTCATGGGAACTTTGGTGCTCCCCACACGAATGTGTGTGCACCTGTCAATGACGCCTTCGGGGGCTCCCTAGAAAGCAAAGGACAAGACATCGAGGTTACAAAGCGGGCTTCGGGTCACCTCGGTACCGCAACACTCAAGTTAAGCAGGTCACCAGTTTCTGGCTTTTTTAAGGCAGTGACGAGTTCTCCTTCTTGGCACCTGCCTTAACAAACATCTTGCTCATGGACGTCCGGCTCGGCTTATTTGGTGTACAATAGACAGACATTGACTTTCTATCTCTTGAGAACTCGAGGGTGAATTCTTTCTTCATCAGTTGTTTTATAACCTGAGAGAAGGGACCACAAGCGGCAGAGACACCATGAGATGAGATGTGGCATCTACAGGGCGCACCCCCCCGCCCCATCACTGCCCCACGGGTCCTGAGGACTGACCGAGTTGCAGGCATTGGCGCGTTCAATCCTGGAGAGGCCTTTGAGCTCCGTGTCAAAGACGTTCATCTTCTCAACCAGACAAGTGAGGGCAGTCTCTGTGGCTTCCCCGACTTTTTCATACACTCCCTTTGCCTTCATTTTAAAGAAAAACGAAGGAAAGAAAAAGGTGAAGGCCGTCACCATGGTGAAGGTTCTCCAGTGCCGAGCCCGTCCCAAAGCGGAGTCTGGCTGGACAGTCTCTGTGTTCTCTTCAAGACTCACTGACTATTCCAGTTTGGTCTGGAAGGACAGGCTTTTGTCAATGCTCTTTAAACTGCCCGTGCAGTCAGACCTCTCGACTCAGCTGCTCACTTCTTAGGAAGTGAGGCAAGGAGTGGGCGGGGGTAGGAAGAGACCCCACATTTTCAAAATCAATGCTACCCTGACAAAGTTTTGTGGTTAGGCCTTCGTGTTAAGGAAGTGTGGAAGGTCTCAGCCTGCTGTCTCTAAGACATGATGCTGTCATCGCTGAAGCAAGACGGACTGTGTGGCATGCTCTGGGAGGGGACGGTGGGCCGTGTGCACGTGGGCCAAACAATTCACTTGCACTAGCTGCTCCAGCCATGTCAACTCTAAGATGTGCTGTTCACAGAACAGTGGTGAATGGCAGGCAGTAAAGGGCTGGGTGCAGAACGCCTCTGATAAACGGGAGGAAGGGGGCTGTGTTCTAAGACCACCCACCATGCCCTTCAAGAGATAAAAGCTGCAATAATGGCACCAGCCAGCCTTATGGGCCCTGCCCTCAGGCAGGTGACACTCACCTCATTGTAGTCCAAAGCAGAGTCATTACAAAGGGCGCAGATGGTGGCCAGCTCTACAAGACCGTCATACTGATGACACTTCACTGGTTTGTCATCTTTATGCCTGTCAAAGGAAGAGAAGGCAGCAAGCTCAGAGCACATCACTTCTGATGACCTGGGTTCCAGGGTTGGTTGGTTTCTAAGTTCCATTTCTGCATTAAATGACATTTTCCATTCCAGAATGACTGGAGCGAGGGGCACCATATTGAAATGGGGTCCTCTCGATTTACTGTCTCCTCTCAAAGTCAAATGCTACACTGGCTCCACCTAGTCTGCTGATGGAGACCATGCCTTTACACGCCCTCACTTAAAATGAATTAAGACCATTCTTTATAGAGGACTTCCTTCTCTGGCCAGCCAGGCCCATCCAGGACAGGCAGAGCCACGAACAGGCCCCAACTTGATAAGTTCTAGAACATCTTCTGGACAGAGAGGTTTGTAAACACACACTGTACAACTAGATGAATGAAAACCGTTTCCAAAATTCACGGCAGAATATCCTTAACCAGAAGTCATCTCTAACAGGAAGATAAATGGTCGATATGTTCTTGGAGTTTGACTCTTGGCCTATTTCATTTGTTCAAGACAAGAGTCAGAAGAGTAAAGGGATCTGCAAAAGGTCTTCTCCTTGTTTCTGTTTTAAGCATCTTATTTAAAACGAAAAGGAAATTTTATTGTCATTCAATGACACTCACTGGAAAGTGAGCACAGTGATGTTAGGAGACAGAAATCGTGGAAATCTCTCTTTGCCCACCTACTGTATTATCTATATCTACTTCCAATTCACGACATAATTTACTTCGGATTAAAAATGAGATTCACAAACCTTTTCTTTTAAACATTATTTTACTTTAAGCCTGTCAGCAGTCATCTAACCATTACCTTTAGAAAGAAGTAGCTCAGAGAATCCCATCATTTGAGAATAAGAAATAACTGTATTTCTGCCTTGAAAAAAATGAATTACTCAAGATCACAGTAGAAGATGGACAATTTGGCCTATTAAAATGACTCATCTGTGAAATGCTTAGATTTTTAATCTCCGTTAGGGAATCCACCACCATCTTCATACGCTCTGGTTCCATGCCTGTGGCCCTAAGCTACCTTTTCAAGGCCTCTCTTGTGCTGTGAGTCCCAGAGAAGCTCGACCACTCCAGCCCATCCCCCGTCACATCTTGTTCCTCTATCTAGGACTAACAACTATCACAGCTGACGCTGGTACACTACTTTAACATCCGTAAAGTGCCTTACACACGGTCTCCCTTGATCCTCTGTGAGGCAGACAACAATTGCTAGTGCCCCCATTTTAAAACTCCTTTTACTTGAGGCCCTTCCTCCCACCTTCCCAACTGCCTCCCCTTGCCTTCTGCTCCTTCTCTGCTGCTCACAAACATGCCCAAGTTAAAAACCAAGACGAGGAGCCCGCCATGCCGTCTGCCAGGCCCCTAACACACCGTCGTTCTTCAGCTCAAACGCCCTGAAAAGGTTAGCGCTCACTCGTGCTCTCTTCTCTCTCCCCGACCACTTCTTCTCAGCCTCCTTTGATGGCTATCACCTCCACCCCGCCCATATGGCTCTGTCCTGGGATCGCTCCTCCTTTCTCTCCACACTCTCTTACCGAGTTTCTCACCAGCTCTCCCAGGGCCAACTATGGGCTCTACACAGGCGACTCCCAGACCCACAGAGGATTCCAGCCTGAGCCTCTGTCCTGAGTCTGGCCGTACATCATTGCACCGGCTGTCCCTCACCCTCGACCCCTAATCCAGGGGTGGCAAACCTGCAGCCTCGAGGCCACACGTGGCCCTCTGGGTCCTCAAGTGCGGCCCTTTGACTGAATCCAAACTTCACAGAGCAAGTCCCCTTTATTCTGTAAAACTTGGACTTGGTCCAAAGGGTGCAGCCAAGGCCCTAGAAGACGACATGTGGCCTCCTAGAGGCAGTGGATTCCCCACCCCTGTGCTGACCTCTTGGAATTCTGGTTTCCTTTAAGAATACCCACACATCCATGCAGTATCTGGTTAGGAGGTAAGTAAGCTCCCTGAGGGCACGGCCTCTGTCACTTGTGTGACATGCACACAGCAAGGGGTTACTAAATGCTTGATTTTTGACAAGTGGCCAGAGGTAACATGAGAACCTGACCCTTCTGACCCCCAGCCGAGCCCTCCCTGTGGGTGGTGGGTCAACCATGGACACACTACTTACACTTCTCCCATGGGTGCGTATGTTGACCCAGTTATGGTAAACTCATTCAAAGAGCAGCTATCCCCTTCTACTCGGTCCAGAATAAACATCTGTGGAAGGAAGTTTGAAAAACAGGGTAAGCTTTTTGCTGACAATTATCTTTGTCAACCTAATACAAGAGAGAGCAGTTGTCTTTGTCAGCTTTCATGGAAAGTCAAAGTGAATTAACTTCATCACCTGATGCCCACCAGCAGTCCCGGTGGCCGCTCTTTTCTCCATGCCAACAGGTAACCCCCAAACACCACAGTGGAAGGATGTCTGACCCAAATGCAAGGGCCTGCTTCCTGCCACTGGTCACATCTGCTTGTCACAAAGCCAAATTTCTTCTTTTATGCAAAGTAACACTAATACGAACATGGCTCAGTAATCAGCATGCAATTAACGTAGTGAAAGAATTCTATAAACAGGGCTGGGAATAAAGAAGGAAACTGGTGCAAAAGAAAGATGGCAGACAACCAGCATTCTGGGGCCACCACTTGGGGCTCTGTCTTCTCGGGGGTCACTTTGCCAGCCCTGTACTTTCCCCCTTTAAAAAAAATGGGGTTGGACTAGGTTCTAATCCTTTTATTAAGGGAATCTGTGCTGTGCAGCTTGGATGAGTCACAGGGCCACACTTGAGGACCTTGAAGGCCACATACGGCCTCAGGGCCACAGGTACCCCACCCCTGGACTAGGTGATTGCTAAAGAAGCTACAGGTGAGAGTTTCATCACTCTGAGGCCTGGGCACACGAGCTCTCCTCCCCAGAGGCCCATCTTCAGGATGATGAACACGTACAGTTGAGACTCTAGGCACTGCCATTTTCTCAGTACTAGAAACCACAGCATTTCCCACGGAAATAAGGATGAACACAGTCACATTCATTTTTATCTACTGTTTTGCAATCTGCTGATGTCTAAACACTCAAGACCTGGGTACTCTGATGTTCTTTCCATGTATTAATCACCAGCTGTATGCACAACACACGCCAGCATCAGCCTGAAGGAGGTCAGCCAAGAGACAGAAGGTCTGGTCAGTCCTTGCCTTGGGTGGGTACTACAATCTACGAGGAAGGAATCAATGCAAACGTTCCTAAGCGTTAACATCATTCAGAACTGATGTATCTTATCATGGGAACCTTTCAAAAGGCTAGTCAAAGAAAAGAAAATGTCATCACCTGGAGAACAACGAGGATGCTACTGTAACAGCTAGAATTTATGTAGTCCCAACCACGTGCCTTGCAAACATCATCTCCCTCAATCCTCACTACAACCCTGAGAGGAGGTGCTGCTGTTATCCCCATTTTACAGATGAGGAAACTGCGGCAAACAGAAGTTATGTGACTTGCCCAGGGTCACACAGTCAGTGAGTGTATGAGGCTAGATTTGAGCTCAGGGCTGCCTTAGACTGGGAGTAATTCTGAGGAACAGTTAAGTAAAACATGTATAATGTAGAAATCCAAGTTTATTCTTAAAAAACAAAAACAACAGCTACTTCCCAAGGGAAATATTTGCCTGCTTCTCTACAGTGGCCGAGTTCCTTTGTGGTAAGACTTCTCAGAAGCTGGAAAAATTGTAAATGTCCTCAGACCAGCTCACTGGACACCAGGAGGACCCAAAGCCGCAGGGCACGGCGATTACTCCTCGGCGGGCCGAGCTGCAGGGGGGGCCTTTGACTGCTAAGCGGACGCTCCAAGGAGCCCGGCAGCATCTGATGTTGGTCATTTTATGGTTTTTGCTATAAATAGCAGTAATTTAGCACAACAAGGTCTCGTCTCGTGTTCCCCTCATTTCCGTCCTAGTCCACGGGGTCGGAGGGAGGACAACGCCACTGCGAGCAGGATGGCTGACTTGCACTTCCCAAGACAGACGACAACATTTCAACAAAATATTAAAAATTCCTCAGACAAAGCAGCCTCATCAGGCTCTGGGGGACATAAACATTTTCACGGCATTTAAGCCAATACATACAGAGGGCAAATAAAACCTCATTAAAGGGGGAAAAGCCCCTGTCCTATGGATGATTACAATTACACACACACACACAGGTTACCAAAAGCCTCCACTTCAGGGGCATTTCTTGATCAAAATAAATGAACAAGTAATAATTGCTAGCACTTATGTAACGCTTTAAGGTCTGCAAAGCACTTCACAAGTATTATCTCTTTTGATCCTTGCAACCTCGGGAGGTGCGTGCTATTATTACCCCATTTTATATATGAGAAAACTGAGGCAGATGAGAAGTAGGGACTTGCCTTGGGGTCATAGAGCCACTCAGGATCTGAACTCAGGTCTTCCTGATGCTCAGTCCAGCACCTTCCTCCCTGAGCCACCGACTTAATTATGCCATGACTTCTTCAGAGAAATGTTCTCTTTCGTTAAAACAAAAAGAGATGGCATGGCAGACAAAAGACTGCCCTTCACACGGAGGAGCCAACATGCCACCTTGCTGGTTTGTGGCCAGCACGAGCACACCCCTTCCCAAGTTTTCTGGACCCCGGAGGGATGCCAAGCAGCCTGGGGGAGGATGCTCCCCCGCCTCGCCAGAACACAAGCCAACAAGCCTTTGAACAAGTAAAGGCCTACAAGAAAATATCAGTCCCTGCCACAGTCCTTGGGGCCAGCTAAGGCTTCAGGGTGAGCTCCTGGGAAGGAGGCCTAACTCTCATCTCAAATGCTAATCTCTCCAAGAACACTGAAAAAAAAAAAGCCGCCTTCATGGAGGCAGAGCAGGGTTGTTCTCTTTCAGAGAACTATGTATTTACTGGCATTCTGACTACATGGCACAGTGGATAGAATGCCTGGCCTGGAGTCAGGAAGACCCAAGTTCAAATCCAGCCTCAGACACTTGCTATCTGTGTGACCCTGGGCAAGTCACTTCACCTTGTTTGCCTCAATTTCCTCATCTGTCAAATGAGCTGGAGAAGGAAATGACAAACCATTCCAGTGTCTCTGCCAAGAAAACCCCAAATGGGGTCATGGAGAGTCAGACAAGACTGAAATGAATGAACAAACAGGCTTTAATAAAGGTCGGCGGCTTCTATAGGAGGAAACTGGGTAGGGAGTGGATCATGCCCCCGCCCCTGCCAACTACACGTGCCTACTCTGGGGGGATGTCCAGCTGCAAGCATGTTCATGAGACGGTGTCTCCGCATCAGGAGGCTTACACTGCCCTGTGGCCGGTTACCTGGCTGACCTGGCCAGAGCACCACCAGCCCACCTTTCCACAGCTTGGATACAGACTGTGTGCCCATAATCCTCATCTCCACCAAAGGGACAGAGGAGAGGTGGGAATGGGTCAACGCCAACATCCCTCTGCTGGCACAAAATGTAAGGACGGCACATCTGATGACACGAGGGGCCATAGAGACTCCCCCCTGCCCTGACAGACAGGACAAAACCAAACCACAAACTGAAGCTGGCAGCATCCCAATCGGGCCTGATGACAGAGGAGGCCCCACTGGAACCCACAGCATATCCAAGATCTCCCTACAGCCTCCAGGCTCCTCGCCTGGCCTGGAGTCTTCGGGCCGATGACAACCCCACAGACAGGAGGAGGGAGAGAGAGGGAGCTACAGGCTGCCTCCAACAACCACCAGTAGGGAGAATCTCTCTGTGGAAAGCCTAGCAACCAGCTTAGAGACGCCAAGAGGATCGCTCAGCAGCCCACACCAGGCACACACGTGGAGCACAGACAGAATGGGGAGCAAGGTCACGACCTGTACCCAGATGCAGAGCTGTCTCCAGGGAGCCCTCCCGGCCCACCCCCACTCACTACAAACAAGCGCACGGGGCTAAGCACAGTGCTGCGGGTTCAGGCCCAGGAGTGCACCCAGAGCTCCTTACCCTGCACACGGACATCTGGTTGGTGGTCAGAGTGCCAGTCTTGTCTGAGCAGATGACAGAGGTGCAGCCCAGGGTCTCCACGGACGGCAGGCTCCTGACGATAGCGTTCTTCTTGGCCATTCGGCGGGTCCCCAGGGCCAGGCAGGTGGTGATGACGGCGGGCAGCCCCTCGGGAATGGCTGCGACGGCCAGGGCGACTGCGATTTTGAAGTAGTAGATGGCACCTCGGATCCAGGACCCACCATGCACGGGGTCATTGAAGTGGCCGATGTTGATCATCCAGACGGCGATGCAGATGAGGGAGATGACTTTGGACAGCTGCTCCCCGAACTCGTCCAGCTTCTGCTGTAGGGGCGTCCTCTCCTGCTCGGTCGCCACCATCTCATCACGGATTTTGCCAATTTCCGTGTTCACGCCAGTGGCAACGACCACTCCCATGGCTTTTCCAGCGGCAATATTTGTGCCCTAGAAGGGAATTATGGAAGAAATGGGGGACGGCTGTCATTTTTCTAAGACTTTCTCGTTGGGCCAGATCCATGGCTTACGGCACCCACAACAGCCCCAAGTTCAAGTTTCTGTTGTTTTTCAGAACAAATCCAAGTTCTGGAAGGTGGCCAAGTGACCAAATTTTGAAGTGCAGCCTATTTGCTAAGCAGGTTCCCTTTAGCGATCTGATTTGTAGGGCAAGTTTTTGGTTATTCGTTTTAAGAGCTAAGATTCCCCAAGACCCATAACCCCGAGGGCTAGCTACAACATGGGAAAAGTGAAAATGGGCTTGAAGAAAGTACTTACAGAGAAAAGCATATTCTTCTTATCTTGGTTGACAGCCCGGGGATCAGGCACAGGGTCCGTGTGCTTAATAACAGAGACAGACTCACCTAAACGATAAGCATTAAAATGGGAGATATTGAAATGTATGCCCCCTGATGAGGAACAGTCAATAAGCTTAAAGTTGCAAAAACCTGTAATATCTTCCATGGCAAGACAGACTGCCAATTAAAAGCAACTGTCAAATGATACAAAGAGAAAGGGAAAAACCCAATGATTTCACAGAGAGGCCAGCAGCTGCTGAGAGCCAGCGCTGCTGACCTGGCCTGGCTCTCAGTGACACGAGCCTGCCTGCCTGTGCCTCAAGGATCACCCTTCTCATCCTGGCTTTAACCAGAAATCACAGGTTAATCGGGTTTAACTGATGCAGATCTTTCGGTGGCTGCAGAGTTCTGAAGCAGATTTCTCATTTTTCTAGAGTCACTTTTGAAACTCACTTTCACTTCAATCAGAATTTTGCACTGAGTCATTAACGGATTCACATTGTAGGGGCTCCTGAGGCAGGCTTGTTACTCAAAAGGTTAGAGATGACAGAGCCTGACTTTTTGCTCTTATAATGCAGTCAAGATAAAGAAGAGGCAGGGGCTAGCAGGGGAGGAGAAAGGCCTTTCCCAGGGCTCTTGCTGGCCTCTCCACCCTCTGGTTCTACAGCATTCAGAGTTAGGGCTCTGCAGTGCACAGGATGGAGCTCCAGGCTACAAAGTCAGGACAGCTGGTCCCCTTTCAGGGGGCCAGTCCTGGTGACTTCTCCGAGAGCTGCTTCTGTGATAAAACGAGAGGCTGCATCAGAGTAGCCTTAGTTTTCCAGAAGCAATATTTATAATCTCAAAACCCCTAGTTTTGTTGTATAATAAAGCATGCAGGTATCACGCAGAGAGGAGGTAGCCAAGAGGAGATGACTCCTACTCTTGATCTCATGATAAATCAATCCTATGTTTTACTGTCCTTTACTAACAGTTTCTATTTTCTTTTTTTTCCTTTCTTTCTTTTTTTTTTTGGCTAGGCAATGGGGTTAAGTGACTTGCCCAGGGTCACACAGCTAGTAAGTACTATGTGTCTGAGGCCAGATTTGAGAACTCAGGTCCTCCTGAATCCAGGGCCGGTGCTCTATTCACTGCGCCACCTAGCTGCCCCAACAGTTTCTTATTTTCAAAACCAGATCTGAATAGCTTATAAAGGATTCCTATTTTTCACTTCCAGCTGTATGCACAGGACTTCACTTAAGTTGGTAATGAGTTTACTTGTGGCCTTTGGGCATTTTCCTTCAACATGAAGACCGTTCGGAAAGCTGCCAGCCCGGACCATTGTTGTTTCTGCTTTTTTCACATCGCCTCTTCTATACAAGCAACTGCTTTAAAATTAATAATCTGATACCAAATCTTGATGACCTTTACAATTTTTATTTTTCTCTCCCCATCTGTGGGCTTTACTTCAGGTTCTCATTGTTTTTTTGTGCCGCTCTTCTGACACCCTTCCTTCCCCAGGTCCTTCCCCGGAGCCCTCCACCCTACTCACTCTACCCCACCCTACTCACTCTACCCCACCCGGTGCCCTGGCCAAACAAACACGGCAAAGAAAGGGCCCCCAAGCAAGCTTCCAGCCTAAGTGCTCAGAGTCAGGTAGAAGTCAGTTTATTGTTAGGCCCACTTTTATTGTTAATCACACTTGCTTGGTAGGTGACTGCTATAAAGTAGATCAGATTGGAAAACCAGGAGATCAGAAAGCACCAAGTCTCAGGATTCTACAAAATGAGGCATGGTTAATAACAATCTAAGACTTTTTTCTCTTGAGGCAAAGAAAGATGGAGTCAGGGCTGGAAGGGTCCTCAGGGAACATTTCAACAACTTCCACAGATAAGGAAACTGAGGCCCAAGGTCAGAAAACTAATCAGAAGCAGAGCAGGTACTTAGAGATTACTGACTGCTAGGAAGGCGGCTAAGCTCTTACAGGGCCTTCATTATTTACGTTCCACCAGAACATACCTCTCCTGATTCCAGCTCATTTGTTTACTAACTACCAGAGACCCCACTGCCCGTAAGATGAAAGCCAATTATATAAAGCATATGCACTACCACAATCTTTTCCTTTACACCTTACCCCTCTCCCCCAGGCTTTGTTTAAAAATAAAAACTCAAGAAATGCTTGGCTAGAAATACTTGGGAAATTGCTATTTTCTGATGACAATGGCCCAGTTCTATCTTTTAACAGGGGAGGGCCTAGTAAAAGGTGATCTCTTCTCATTGATTCTATGCTTAAATCCCTATCTTAAGGGCCTGGACCAGGCCCCTTTAGTGCTTAATAAAAACTGGAGGCCCGGCACCATTAATGGCAATTTAACTCCGGGGGCATCCTCTAGCAGCTTCACAGGGACATGAAGCAGGGGCCAAAGGCTTTCCGTTCCACACGTATGTAAGCACCAACAATTACCTGTGAGGATCGACTGGTCCACTCTTAAGGTAGTAGACTTGATGGACGTCAGCCTTATGTCAGCAGGAACTTTGTCACCAACTGCATTAAAAAAGCAAACATCTGGATCAACAATTACACCAGCAGATCCACGCTCACACAGAAATCATAAATCTGAGGGCCTTTACACACGCATATTTCATTCAGCTCTGCAAGTACAACCCGCACAACCTTTTGTTTCAAAACCAGCCACGTGCAATGACTCAGAACAAACACACCTTAATTAATAATCAGTAAGCACTTATTAAGTACCAACCATGTGCCCCCCTCAAGGGATACAAAAAGAGGCAGAGACGGTTCCTGTCCTCAAGGAGCTCACGCTCTAACAGTTACTGACCCTACTGTGTGTCCTCCCTAAGGCCCTGGCCCTCTCCTTCCCCTCCCCATCCAAGGCCTCCAGTAAGCACGCCAAAGCATCTGCAGAGAAGACCCGCAGGGCCCGACAGAAGCCACAGAAACCTTCCTCGGAGAGCACAGGAAGCAGAGGCACTGACCAGCCAGCAGCCAAGTAAGCACCAAGGGGGCCTTCAGGGATCGCCTTCTGCTTCGAAGACGATCCGTTCACTGGGACATCGGAGAGCCGTGGAGGAGCTTCTGATCCCCTCCCTCCAAGCCCACCTAGCCACAGAGCCTTTATTACGGGCACGGGGACAAACAGAAGCAAGCTGATGCCTGCCTGCAGGGAGCTGACATTCTAAGAGAGGAGATAAATTTGTATGTCCACATAAACCTCGAGAAGGCCCTGAGTCTCTGGGGAGACAGAAGGTGATTGGCAAAGAAAAAAGGCAGCCCTTTGGGAATGAACTTTGATGGGGACCACGGCCCTCAATGCCAGGCAAGGGCAGGTGGTGGGAAATGTGGGCTGGCCATAGACAGAAAACAACAGGACAGTGGCCAGCACGTTTCCCTGGACCCCACATGGTGTGAAGGCGAGTATATAATAAGGCTGGGAAGGTAAATCAGGACCAGTTGGTAAAGGGCTTTAAAGGCCAAACAAGGATCCAGAGGGGATGCTCACTGCAGAGACCAGGAGGGGCTGCCATTCAATTTAGGAAAAAACTCCCTTTGGCGGCTGTGTGGAAAGACTCAAGGCCAGAAGGACCCCTGGGAGGGTAGAGGAGAAGTAACAAGGATCCCAGCTCAGAGGGACAAGATGTGGCGTCTAACCAGACCTGGGTCCAGGGAGGAGGAAGGGATGAATCTGAGACTGAGGCTGTGGGTGCCAGGTCCAGTCCTCAACAGGAAATGGGAAACTCAAGAGTGGGAGGTTTGGGAGGGGGAGGGGAACAGAATGAAGAGACTGGAAGACAGAGGAGAGAGGGAGAAAGTGATGGAGCAGGAGAAACGAGAGGCAGGTCCCAGTGAAGAGCTAAGAGCTCTCAGGTTTGCCTGTAGGCAGCAGAGAGGGAACCAGCAGCTAAAGGGTGGGGTGGGTGATACTGGGAACAATTTCCTGGAGAAGGTAGGAAGAGAAAGGATTCAGGGCACATGTAGAGGGGTGAGCCTTGGGGAGAAGGCCCATACTAAAGGAGAAAAAAATGGGAGATCTCAAAAGGCTGAGATGCAGAGTAAGAAGGAAGTGGGGGCTCCTGGGGAAAGGCCTTAATTTCCTCAGCTGGGAGGGGGGATTGGGTACAAGGCTTTCATAGTACAACTGTTCCCAAATGGACAAACAGCCAAAGGAAAAAGAACACTGTATCCGAGTTAACGCCTGTTATAGATTACAAACAATTCCCAACTCTTCAAAATGATCAGAGAAATGCAGATTAGGAGAACTTTGAGGTACTATCATACCTTAACTATCTCACTTCAACTATGTGACTTGGACATATACTGGGAGTTTCTATGGATTCATGTCTAATTATTATTATTGCAAATAAAGTTGGCAAATGGAATTTAAAATGGCAAAATTCATGGTCAGTGAAGCTATGGGAAAAGAAGCACTCTATCACATTACTGTTGTAATTGTACATTGATATAATTCTAGGGTAGTGCAACTCAGCTATACAGAGTAGATTATAAAGTAGACTCTGACTTAGTGATCTCATTACCATGGCTTTATCTTGCAGATGATATTCTGGAAGAAAACTTTAAAAAAGGAATTCTGAATAAAACCATTCATACCTACTTGTAATTGCAAAAAAACCAAACCAAACAAAAAACGACAACCCTAGAAGAAACTACTCTATTCGAGGACTAGTAAACTACCAAGCCAATTGTGGGTTATCAACAAAATGGAAACTGCAACATTAACGTGACAAATGTGGGACATCAATAATGCAAAGCAAAGAAAGCACAACTGGAAACACATGCCCTGAGTACAATGACATAGAATCTCAAACCAAGCTTCTGAACATGCAGGCCAAAGATGGTGGAACACGCCAAAAAATCTAGACTTTTCTCAGATACAAATGGATCCTTTGGGATTTAACTTTATATTTGCATATTTATTGAGCTTATGAACGTGTTATAAAAAAGATTCACTGTCTAGCTCCTCATCAGTTGCTTCTTATCTCTCCTTCACTTCCCTCCAGGGAAGAGGTCCCAAACCAGAGGTTCCCAAACTTATCTGGCCTACTGCCCCCTTTTCAAAAGAAAAATTATTCAGAGCCCCCTGTGGAAATCTACTTTCTTTAACCCTTTAACTTTTTAAAAAATTTGTGTCATTTAAAAAAATATGTATTTTTAAATGATGCATCTTAAATTTAATAATCTATTATAAATTTGCGGGGGGGTTTTCCTGCATCAAAATTTTGATGACACAATATTGTATCATGTAACCACATAGTATCACATTATAAACAAGCCATTACACACACCTATTCCTGCCAATGCACACTGGACTTCCTGACAATGCAGGACAATTTGCCTGTCAACACTTGCTTGTTAAGACCTGTCAGCGGACTTGACCACTGATTGGTTATAACTTGCATTTTGTTTATTTGGAAAATAATGTAATCACTATGAATTTAACTCTGTTATACAACAGATGAAACACGTATAAACAGTTTTTCAAAATTTTCTCTTCTTTCCTTATACTTTCATCACCCCCTTATTTTTATCCAACGCCCCCCAATTGGACTGAGGCTACTACTGCCCCCCCCATGGGTCCAGCGTCCCCCCCAGGAGGGCGATATCACCCACTTTGGGAACCTCTGCCCTGAACTAGGCCCAATCACAAAGAGCTGAGAAGGGCAGGGTAACCAATAATACCACATAGGTCCTTGCTACTCATGATCAAACCTGTTTTGTACACAAGTTTAGGGGGTGGAAATATATCTAAAAGTTAACTTAATGAAGAAGATATTATTGCTCTATTTGGTTTAAGAAAAATTCCCTTTACATATCTGGCAACACATTTGCCCTAATTCTGCCTCAACTCTGAAATCTTCAAACCTTCCTAAGTGAGATGTGATTAATTCAATCTTTGCTCAAGAATGATATCATGGGACCACAGGATTTGAGGACAGGAAGGCATTTGAATGGGTCCCCTTGTCTCAGCCCCGTGTGTTACACATGAGGCCCGATGAAGGCTCACATAAAGTGGGCCAAGCCTGGGATTTGAACCCAGGCCCACTAACCCCAGACCCGTCAAGACCTTGCAGTCAGCTTTTCAATGTGCCTCTAGATACATCTAGTCCTTCTCTACTAAGACCAGAAAAAGAAGGGTAACCAATGGCTTCTCAGACATTTTCAAAATGCATCAAAATGGTCAAGGAAAAAAGTGGTAGCCAGGAGAATATGAGTAGAAAAGGTAAGTGCGTGTCCCACCCCCACCCCTGCTGACAGCTGGCTGTTCCTAACCTTCCAGTTTCAAAGCCTGCCAGCGGCTGGGCGAGCCGGGTGGGAAGAACAACCCTACCAAGAAAGCAAAGGGGCCCTCTGGCTGGGCCTCACCTCCTTGGACAAAATGCCCCTGCCAGGGTAAGCTCATTGCCGCTGTGACGGATGCTCCTCCCAAAACCTTCCTCTACAGAGGGGAGAGTCTGGGCTCTGGGGCTGGCTCAGTCTGCACCTGATGCCCTGGATGGCTTCAGCTCCACACCAGATGCCCCCGAGCCACTGTTCTCCCCCACCCCTTGCTTCCTTCCACTGGACCCTAAGCTTCCTGAGGGTACGGCCGGTTGTTCTCTTTACTGAGCGTATAGCCAGTGCCTAGCACAGCGCCTGACACAAAGGGGACACTTAGTAACTGTTGGATAGATTGGATGGATTGATAATGTCTCCTGATGGAGAGCTCTTGAACTCTTCACCTCTGCCCTCAGGTGACTGTCTGGGCTGTTTCCTCTGCCAAGGAGAATGTTCTTGGGAAAGGGGAGAACCAGGGTGGCTGGAAGGTAGCAGATACCCCAGGTAAATAAGCCCTTAAAGAGTTTAAATTACTTGATGAACGACACCGTCTGGCACAGAAAGAACTGGTGGAGATGACTCCGGAGCTGCTTGGGGCATTTTTTCCAAAGACAGAGAGAATGGGAGCAGGCCCACTGGATCAGAGGACAGACGTCCTGATCTTCAAAAAGGGGAAAAGAAGTGTATCTCCAAGCCATCAGCTACCAGGCTGACTTCAACACATTCTGGTCCTTGCCAGGAATCGAAGACGAGAGGGTGAGTATCTACAAAAGGGCCTGGACCCGGGCGCGCTGACATAAGCTGAGAATGTGGAATGCCTGGCTTTGAAAAAGCATCTACCAAAGTAACGACGGCGTCCCACCGCTGCAGGCACCAGGGGGTGCCATCGTGCACAGAGTGCTGGGCCTGGATTCCAGAAGACCAGAGTTTAACTCCTGCCCCCCTTACTAGCTGTGTGACCATGGGCAAGTCACTTAACCCATCGGCCTCAGTTTCCTCATCCGTAAAATGGGGACACCACCACCACCTACCTCTTAGGGTTGTTACGAGGATCAAATGAGATAATGTTCATAAAACAGCACAGTGCCTGGCAGTCAGCACTATATAAATGTTAGCTGCTATTAGCAGCTAATGTAGAAGCTCTCCCTTGGAGCGCCCCAGGGATCAACACGATATGTGGGGTCTATGATATT